GCTATTTGCCACTAGTAGTAAGGTGCCTTGCTTCTAGTAGCTTCTTGCTACTAGTAGTAATGCCAGGAGCTACTAGTAGCTATTTGTACTAGTAGTAAGGTGCCTTGCTGCAGGTAGCTTTTTGTTACTAGTAGTAATGCCAGGAGCTACTAGTAGCTATTTGCCACTAGTAGTAAGGTGCGTTGCTGCTAGTAGCTTCTTGCGTCATGAACAAATGGGAGATGTGAGACATCAACATCTCACGCTTCGGAGAGCGCCTCTCGAAAGAGCGACTCCGGCAATCCGCCACGAGCATGCGAATCTGGCCTGGAGTGGAGCTCGGGAAGGTGTCGCTGGACAGTGTGTATACCAAACAAATATACATGATATCATACCAAAAAACACATGCTGTATTATTAATGTGTGTTTTATGATTTTTACGTATTTCCGCAGTTGTCAAAGTGAATGTGGCTGCAACCCATTCAATACTTGTGGCAAAGACCATGGGAGACAAACCAATCACGGCATATAGACACCGCCGTAAAACTCCTGTTGTAGGACTTTCTTGGGCGTTTTCTGGGAAGAGATGGTTTACCAAAAGTCTGAGGCTGGCTCTAGATTCCAAATCTGCTCACATCTGTGAACCCTGAAGATTCAAACACCATCATCAACGTAACATAACTATTATGAGGTGTTGATAGCAGGTGCTTGAAGATCATGATGTATTTGGTTGTGTCTGATCCCTTTGGACTTGCAAGCAAGACCCCCAAATCCCTCTGCCCTGGCGGCTTTTCTGGTTGTTCTTGCATGTGCTTGCCATCGAAATGGATCAATCCACTTTGGCTGACACAAAACAATCTGGGATTGAAGATCCATCAGTGCAACTAGACTCGAGACATTGGATCATTGGATGGACTAGATGAAAAAACATGAAAAGGTCAAGAAGAAAACAAAATGAGGCCGGAATCGGCAAGGTCAACACTTTCAGCTTCCGAACCCTTCCAAATGCCTGGCCGCTGGCCTCCCAGGTGAACCCAAACCCTTCCAAAGCCCAGCCGCTGGGCCAAGATCCACTCCCACCCTCCTGTTGAACCCATTTCTGTCCGGACCGCCCGACAGGGCCGCAGAATTCTTCTCAATTTTGACACGAGCCGACCCAAAGCCAACGTCGTGAAACCGCGCCCTGAACCACTCTGCGACGCGAACGTGAGTTGTGCCAGGTCGCTATAGAAAATCTTCAACCTGGCACGATTCTGGTGTTCTTCTCCGACCATGCCGCTCACCCACAGTGGAGCAATCGGAACATCCGGAATAAAAATACAATAATAAACACCGTAGTAATAACATGGAATGCACAACAGAAGCGACCATGTCCTCGAAGGCTGTGAAATCCACAACTAGGCTTGCGACCCTAGTGGATTGCTGGACTCGACTCAGGCGCCTGGTTCCTCTCTATCCCGGCACATAAATATAAGTCAAATCCCAGACACTCCATGTATACCATATATGCGATATATGCCTACATTGACCCCTCAAACCACCCCAATGTAGGCATATATGGCATACATGGAGTGTCTGGGAATGCTATTCATTCCAGAAGCCTGCTAGTTCTTTCTCCGAGTCCTGGAAGGGCGTTCTGCTAGTCATGTTTCAAGAACTTTTGGGATGGGGGTTTCTGAAAAGTGAGCCACAGACCCCACCCCGCCAAACCCACCATGTGAAAAAATAAAGACTTGACCAGAACCAAAAGCAAAGCAGAACAAATTCATACAACTTCCACATGTCGGGAAGCTTCAACCCAGATAGGAAGGAAATGGACCCTGAACGCCGCTGGACGCAAAGTCAGTTGCAACCCGAACGTTATTGTGTTTTTTTTGTGTATTACATTTCAGGCTACTGGCTATACCGATAGCTGAAGAATTCCATATTTAAATAGAAATACAACAAAGCCCAGGCTTGGCTCCAAGACTCCCAGGAACAACAGTCTTCAAAGGACTATGTACTACTGGCTGGTCCCAGTGCTTCTGGGCCGCTCAAGGTGTGGTTTCAAGATGTTTCAAGACTCCAAGCGAAGAGCTGGAAAGTAAATACAGGGTAAGTAACTATTGTCCACGAACCAAGCAACCCAACGCCAATCAATCATGCCCCAAACCCTCTTGGACAATCGTCCTTGGTGGTGTTGTCACCACAGAACTACCCCCCCGGAATTCTTTGTGTCAGCTACAATATCAATAACTGGGACCTACGAGAGCAAAGCAATATCTCATCGCGAACGATTCAGCATGATTCTGCCATTGTCTCAGGCTTTCCCATGTTGTGGCGTTCCAAGATGTCAAGAACTGCAGAGGTCGCGAAAACTGCTCGTGGTTTCCTTTTGGTCCGAGACACATGGAGCCCAAATAGATCATGCATCGGCACACAAAGAGGGCAATGTTCTCCTGAAGCACATCGGCAGCTGCATCGTCAGATGTTCGGCCCAGCCCAGCACCGAACCCAATTATTGGAGAACCGCTGGGCTCGGCTGGTTCACCTGACCAATACTTGCGAATGCATGTATTTGGAAGATCATAAACCCATGTGCATCCATGTATTATACCTGTCATTGCCTAGCTATCGTGGGTTGTGCTATAATGCTGCATCCGACCTGCATTACCCTCGTCAGCGCAAACATATGACCGCTTCGGACCAACCGCCGCGGTCCCGAGCGTTGCCTGGGCGTTGCGCCGTTGCTCACCTTGTTACTAGTAGCTTCTTGTTGCTAGTAGTAATGGCCTCCAATGGCCTCCACCGTGCGTAGCTTCTTGTTACTAGTAGCGATGCCAGGCAATCCGAGCGACCTCCCTTGTGGGCGCATGGTCCGCTTGCAGTCGTGGGATGATCGCTTGACCTTGGATCGTGTGAGCGGAGTGCTGGACCAAGACCCCTAAACGCATACTTTGCCAAAAACACGCTGTAAGAACAGTTTAGTTGATTCTTGGCTGATGAACCATGATGAACCTTCAATGGCCTCTTTCTGTTTGTTGCTAAGTGCCAAATCAATCTTGATTGAGATTGTGTCGATATATATTATAGTTATATGAATATGTATCTAAGTTCAGTTCTTTGCCATCATGATGTTAAACTGTGCACCACTCTTGAACTCTGGCGGCTCTGACGAACCTCTCATTTCGGGCTGGTGATGGCGCTGCAGCTAGCACTGCGTCGCACCGCCGTGTCGCGTCGCGTCGCGTTGGTATACCGATCAGTTGGGGGGTGGTGGTGCCAGAGGGGTCAAGACCCTTGGGGCGGCATATATTTGACAGACATGGAGTGTCTGGGTATTTTGAATGTACACCTGTAGTTGTAGTTACACCCACATAGCTTGCAAATAGATGTCAACACTTGTGTGGCCAGGGTGGTGCAGAACTCCTCAGCGGATCTCAGCGGATAAAAATGCCCAGTTCTTCAAACGAAGCCTCATCGCTCATCTCGCTTTCCCTCGACCAAGTGCGGGCTGAGTCGCTGGTGATGAACAAGCACAGCATGAACAAGAAATAGATTCGCCTCGGAGTAAACACACACAAGTCCTTGTCATTGGAACCAAGTACGTCGAGTACGGAGAACCTGGGCACGCACACCTGAACACTACTGCACACCACCGTTCAACCACTTGATCAAAAAAATCTTGCTGCACAAACCATCACAAACCAATGTGTAAACTGGTTACGGTTACGCCATGTAACTTGTCATTGGCTTAGAAGCTCCCAGAAAAATCACCGGTATTCCCGGTGTTGCAATGACATCCAGGGGTCAAATCAGCGCCCAAAGCAAGAGCTTCTGAATGCAAAACAACTTTAGCAGGAACATCACTCGACAATGTGTCCATATCTGTGCTTTTGGGATATGTTCAGTCGTCTCAATGCAAAACAGCATTAAACAGCAAAACCAGCCAAACCCACCAGCCAAAGTGTCAAGTGGCCCAACCAGGAAGCTATACATGGCCAGGTGAAACCAAATCATGTCCGCGAAGAGCACCTGCGGCGATCATCCCGTGCCGTGAGCCAAAGGAAAATGACCGGGATCACCCCACCCCACTCTAAGATAAGTAAGACCCCCTAATGTTCCAGATATATATATATATATGTTGGACGAGAAAAGGGACCCTGTTGGTTCTTGGGCGGCCCCAAAAAGAAGGGGGTCGGCCACCAAGCTTTCACCGGGACTTGCATGCCGCCTGTGAATCCGTTGCCGCCCCCAGGCGTCAGGACCTATACGAAGCATTCCTGGTGGAGTACAACAAACGTGACTCCAGTGAACAACCGAGAACTACAGGAGCTACAGCAACATCACGTATATATATATATAATATATATATATATTGTTTCTTTTTATGTCTAAATATATATGTCAAGCATCGCAAAAGGAACTCTAATTTCTCAGTCAGGTTAACTAGACCTTAGGGATGGTAGTCCTCTTGAACTTCGATGAAGCCAGCCTGAATTGCATGAAGAAGGCCTGTACCGACAGCTGTACCACGACACATCAACATTGAGAGAAGGAGGAAAGCTCCCGCCTCCAGCTGTCAAAATGCTGTGGACTATGCTGTGGTTTGAAAAGGATGCTACTATGGTTCTCTAGGGTTGCCCACAAAGTCCAAAATGGCCACACGTTTTAAGTTCTTCCTGTGAAGAATATGAATCTAGGCCCCCGTGGACCCCCCAAACAGGGGGCCGAAGCCGTTTGAACAACCACCGCCCGTCTCCGCCCGACGACCGACCGACCGCTTCTCGAAGTGCACCAAACCCTAAACCCCAAACCCGCTCGGCTCGCTCTTTCTCTCGTCTTCCGAAAGAAAAGGACAGGGCACCACCACAGGGTGGCAAATGATCTTGGGCTCTCCGAAGTCGGACAGCCACTCCAAGGCCTGGCGACACCACGTGGAGACGCAGAAGGAGCGTGGCGCTGAGCGAGTTTCGAGCCGGGGAAACGAGAAACCCATCGAGACTGGCTTCTCTGGCTATTTCCGGTCTTCCTGTCTTTCAGGGCCGAGAGGTTGCGGGTGGTGCCAAAAAGAATGGTCACCAGCTCCGCTGGTTTGGTATCAGCTCCGCTGGCGCCTGGCTGAAGTTCTCATCCTGGTCTTGAACTAAGTGCCTTAGGACCAGCGAAGGCGGGGGCGGAAGAGCGGGGAGGGCCAAGATGGGCCAACGGCATTGTGGAGCTGCTCAGGGCCAAGTCGATGGGTTCGAGTCTAGACTATGCGACCACAACCGTGGTGTCTCTTCTTCGGGGTCTTCCCGACTGCAGCACACTAGAACCTGTTAAAGTTTAAAGCGATTGCCAAAACAACAAGTATCTCTGAGGTTGACATCTTGACAGGTCCACTCCACCACAACCTGATACAGCAACTTGTACATGTACTACCGAATACTACTATTGTATTGGAGATACACTCAATAGATGTTTGGCCGCATGTGGCCCAAAGTCTGATGTTTCGCATCGAGAAACCACGTCAGTTCAATCTGGAGCTCTGATGTCGCGAGAAGAGCCATTACACTGAAGAAACCCGCGCATCGATCCTTTCACTCTGCATGGATGAGTTGATACGGAGGGACGCGTGGGGAGAGGAGGTGGCATTCTGTGTCTTTTGTTGAGCAAATGTTGTCTCCTGGAAGCACCGTCTTCGCTGGTCTCGGTGTTCTCCTGTATCGGTGTTGCGTACAATGTCCATCAGTGAAGTGGGATGGGCTGTTTCAAGGGGAACGCCGAAACCGGAAACCGCCGAGGTGCTTCACGTAGTAGTTGGTGCGCCGATAGCCTGCGAAAACAGCCAGCCACATCAGCCACTACCAAACTCCCCTCACAAGAAGTTGGTGGCAATGCTGTAATATTTCCAACGAAGAACAATCCCCATACCAAAAATGATTGCAATTGTATTCAAGGCAAACTATGCTCCAAGAAGAGATTTTCTCATGAGCCCTCGCCCCAGGCCCCAAGACCTGACTACCATTCAAAGCAAACAGCCGTCAGTAGAGACTGCTCAACCCTTGGAACTTCTTGGCCGGGTCAGGTGTGGCATTGGTCCTCACCAAAATGCAACGCACATGTTGATGCGGTATGCGCTCGGTTTATTTCTTTGCATGGTATATGACTGATACATGTGCCGTGTCATGCAAGGCTGTTCTACTCGAGGGCCACATCACTGATCCAAACCTTCACTACTAAACCAACAGGTAAAGCACTGGCTACAAAGTGCCTGGGTCATGGCCCTTGAAAAAGTATCCCATCCCAAACAGTTTCTACTCAACCATGTCGCCGAAGAAACCAGACTCAAGTAGACATGATATGAGTTAGGTCAGACCTGTTGTTGTGGCCAACATGCCGGTCACGGTCACCATCCGCACCTCCCACAGTCAACCGAGAGCGCCACACCAGGTGGTCCAGGACCACTGGCAGAAGCGAAGGTGCATCGGCACCTCGAAGGCATCTACAGTATATTCTATCAGTCGTTGCCTGATCAATTTGACTGAAAAAAGGAAACATGTGACACTTTCCCACATTCTACGATACCCATGAAGATGTCTTAAGACTATTGCGGCGACCCCCTACGATGAATAACAAACTTTGATAAACCAATATATGTGCACTTGGAAACTCACCTACTTCCTCCACACTGTTGCAGACTCCATACTTGACCAAACACTGGAACATCCAAATTAGGAACTCAACTATAATATATCACACTATAGTTGTTGTTTTGTCTTTTTGCTTCTGTGTACTATTGTGAGTATATGTACATGAATGTCTTCTGGGCATTGCGAGCAGTCAGCGAACAAACGAACACCTTGAAGTCGGCCATTGTGTCTCTGCGGACGTCAAAGGTAAAGAAGTGGGGATACAGGGATACACTCCCTGGAACCAACATGGAAGTGGGTGAATTCAGAATGGCCCCAAAAGGAAGACTTGTCCACGACAAACAGGTGGTTTTCCACTTCCATGTTAGTTGCAGGGATGTCTGAAGTAGTTACTTCAGGGACCTCGGCCAAGGGGCACAAACGATGAATCAGCTCCGGATGTCGTGTGAACAAGGCATCGCATCCATAGTAGTAAAGGTCACGATCTGCGCGGATCGTCAAGAGATCTTGCAGCATGGCCTGGTTGATGCTTCGGCGATCGTAGGAGACTGAGGACCTAGGACCTAGAAGTACCCCTCACTTTTGCCTCCTGAGACATAGGTGTGGCCACAAATTCATGGAGCCCTGGACAAGTCCTGCAAACCACCAATGCAACTGATCGTATCTGGAAACATCGGAAACATCCACATGATCCTATCAAAGCTTTAATGAAAGGAATGGGATATGTTGGGATGAATCAACGGTTACGTTGATGCAGAAGTGTTGCTTCCCTTAGAGTTCAAGATCGGTTCATACTATATATATTGTACACAGTATATACACATGTATGTGAGAAGTAGATACAACCATTATAATCTATTGTAATTTAGATGACTATATCAAAACACCTCCGGTCGAACGGCGTCAATATGGATCAAGATTCATCCAATACATATATATATATATCCCTAGGGATCCAAGTGCCTCCTCAACAGGTACTTGGACCCTCCAAACCCACCCCAAACACCTTCTCAGAGGGTACTTGGATCCTTAGGGTCTATATATATAATACAAATACATGAGACTACATAAGTGATTGTTGAAGAGACTGTACTGTACGAAGCCTCTTTCGGGACTATAGGAGTCCTTCATTTCTCTATGTAACCTTTTCAGAACTGACCCTCAAAAAGGATCCCGAGTTGAAGTGGGAATTCTGACTCAAAAAACCAAGACCTTGGGTCTTGCATGATCTTATCGTTATTATCGTTCCTCTGTTTCCTATGATCCAGTTCTTCTCGCAGGGAAAGAGTATCGAAATATGAAAACCTGCTAACCTGGTGGTTCCACTTCGCGGTTCCACCAAACCGAAATCAGACCGCGAGACGCGCGGCCCCGTCTCCGCTGCCCGGTCTGTCGAGACAGGCCGCCTTTGCGCAAATCAAGCTCCCACTCTCAATGGACCAGTAGAAGGGTGAAATAGACTGAGAGCCTACCTGAGCACGAGGAAAAGCGTGGAAAAAGCGTGCGATGAACCTTGGCCCCGGGCCCCTGGAGATCCTGTCAAAACGCACACAAACGTCGCATGTTACAAATACGGTATAAATGAGCAAACAACAATTAACATGAAGTAAATCGATCGGACATCCGGACAGAACAAAAGGAACTGTTGTGATGCAAAAGGATCTGTTTGGTACCTTTGCTACATTTGTTCATTAGCCTCAGCTGGAATTAGCCTCAGCTCCTATACCGCTCCAAGAAGGATTGATTCACTGCCCATCGAAAGCACTTTCGCGCGCGGACCCGAGACCTCTCCCGCCGGGGCGCGGTGATGTTCAGCAGGTCCGTGGCTCGTCGCCCACGGGGCGCCACGGAGATGGCCTTTTTCAAGGCCTGCGGATTGGAAGATCGGACCCCGGATCCTGGTTTGGTCATGAGGGTTGGAGGTATACCCCTATCATATACCCCTAGAACGTTACAATATGACCACTATATAGCATTATATATGATTATAAGTATGATTATATTGCCCAAAGTTCATGGTTTGGATCCTTGTATTGCTTTTTTTAAGTATTTCAGGTCCCAGGTTTTGATCCCATGTTGAAACCAGGCACATGACCAGAATTGGGGTCTGTGAAAAGAAGACGTGCCGCACTGCATGGGATCAGGGAGACGGAGACAGACGGACTTCCAGGACCACTGTTGTGAAAACAAGACTTGGATGCATTGGATCGTTTTGGCATGTTTTGGACCAAAATCTACGCACACCATCCAGCTGTGTCCGCTTTGCCAACAAAACTCTTTGGAGATGGAGGAGCACTTGCGGGGATTAGATGGGATTGTTCTTCACTTCTCTGGCGCGGCATGGCGCCACGCATCGGCAGTGGATGTCCACTGAATTCCACCCACGAGACCAGCTCGGCCTTTTCAGAGTTGGTGTTCACGGCCTTCATGACAATGGTGGAGCCTGGCACCCCGAGGAACGCTGGACATCCATCCAGGACCCCTCAGGGACCGCCAGGGGTCCAGGGTTCTCCATACACTCCGTTGTTGGAAGCCCTGCTATAGTTTTGTGACTTTGGAGTTGAAACCGTCCAAAAGCTATTCCTGGAGTACACGTAGTGCCCCAGCAATGAGCAACCATCAATAGCCGGTCTAGTCACGTCCTGCAGCCTCTACACGGATCTGGGATGGTGCTAAATGGTGAGGCAACTTCAATCCAACTCCCAATCAAACTGCAGAACTATATAACTCAACCAGGGTCAGGGTGTTGCGTTGAGATGTGATTCTACGCTGACGCTTGACATGAAGGCCACACAAACGATGACTTCATCTGTTCATCGTGTGGCATGTTATTGAAAATCCAATCCCTAGAAAGCAATATATTCCGTTGGATTGGATTGGTGACCGGTGACCTGGTGATGATCGTTCGATGTCCTCTTTCCTCGCCGAGTCCTCTTCGCCGAGTCCGTTCGTCTGATGAGAGTGTTCTTACACGACACGAGGAGGGTGAAAACACGACACAACGGCTTGTGACTCGCATAGGAAAGTATAGTATATATATACATTGCGAGTGGTTGAAAAGGTGGTAATGTAGGTAAATATTTTCCATATAGATGGAGTGTATGGGTGGAGGGGTGGCACCCACAGGACTGCAGCCACGCCTTCCAAAATGGTCCGGACGAGGATCTTGGCTACCAAGGTCAACGACCAGCGGAAACCCGTCTCGGCGCTCTCATCCTTGGGCGACGTCTGCTTTGATCCCTGGTGGAAGGAACTTTCGATTCTGGATGAAAGTTGCACAAATGTAACCCATGCAACTCCTGTGCAACCCATTTAGTCTCCGAAATTCTTGCAATGGCTGACAATGAAAACTCACAGCAGGGATCCAAAAGGAATTACACTGAGCAAGCCGCACTAATCCAAAGGGACTTCTATGGACTTCTACTCTACCGGGCAAGTCGATGCAAGTCGCTGAAGCCAAAAAGAAGCACTCTCTATACCTATATACATACATACCATACCGCACGATGCCACACCATACCATCACCATACCATTCCATATCATTATATTCCATGACATCACATACCATCACATACAATCACATGCATGCATGCATACAAACAAACAGACCGACAGACAGACAGACAATCAAACAGACAGAAAGTCAGGTCATACATTGCATTGCATAACATTGCATTGCATTGCATAACATTGCATTGCATGCTATGGTGGTGGTTCTTCATTGTAGATTGATTTGTTGGTTCTTTCTCCTTGAGGTGGACTAGTGAACACACAAATCTCGGCAGCCAAACTGGTCCCTTGGCTGTGATACGACAAGAACTAGGATTGAGTTGAGGATTGGATTGAGGATCCATGTTGCACAGAAAACATGTTCACCAAAGCACACGGGCGGCAAACCCATGCCACATGTCATACCAGACCTTTTTTGAGTCCCGAGCATCTTTTTGATGATGAAAGTTCAAGGATGGATTGACATCTCCCAAGTTAGCCTCCCCCAGTTCCTCTCCCACGTCGCCGAGAAGATAGAGAATGTCAAAAAGGTCTAAACATGTTCCAGTTCCGAACCCATGGAAGGGAGGGGGTGGTTTGGGTCACCCGCTGGGGCCGCAGTCCCAGAATCAGAGGTCATCGTACGCACCACGTCCACCGCGCTGGAGACGAAGGGGGCAAAGAGCTCCGTGGGGATGGCATAGCCCACATGGCCTTGGAAAACGCAGTCTCCAGAGGCAACCGCCACGTCGCTGATGTTCTGCATAGAGATGGGGCCCTCCTAAGTATTTGTTATTTGGGTATCCTATTGTTTGTACGACACACCCTAAAATGTGTTCTACGCACCGGCAGTCAGCCCTACGCTGAAACTCATTCCACGTTTGGAGTTGCACACCATTGGCCAATTGCGCTGATATAGTTATATATAGTATATCCCTAGGGATCCAAGTGCCTCCTCAACAGGTACTTGGACCCTCCAAACCCACCCCTTGTACACCTTCTCAGAGGGTACGACTGGATCCTTAGGGTATAGTTTCGCTCAAAGGAACCAACAACTTGAGCCACAACTGAGCCAATCCGGATCGCGGCCAAGCGGATCGTCGCGAACGAGTCGGATCGCGTTCAGCGAGTCGGAACTTCTTCCACGAGTCTCCAGGCTGCTTCTTGCTCCTAGTAGACATGCCCTTTGTTACTAGTAGTTTCTTGTTCCTAGTAGCTTCTTGTTACTAGTAGTAATGGCCTCCAACCTGCTTGCGATGGCCTCCACCTAGTAGCTTCTTGCTCCTGAGCATCACAAACAACGACGAGCTAAAGGGCGACCAGTTCAGCTTTGTGGGGGTTCCACAAGTGAGCGAACATGAGACCATGACGACCGGGATGTAGCCGTTGCATGGTTCATCAAATGCTTCGCTATCTCTCGAGTACGTCTCGGAACGATTGCAAGTGAAATGAGTGTTCTGAACTGACGGGTCACGCACACATTAAACATATCGATCGATGCCGTGTGATGATTACGCGTCGTTGTGGCTTCAGCGCGAGCACTTCAGCGTCGCATCTCGTGGCCAAGTCCACAACCTGAGGACATGACGCAAGCCCAAAGCAGAAAGGTCTTCGACCATTGACTTGGGGTTCTTGTACATCTCCACCGTCATCTCAATGATCCTGAGTGGCTTTTCCGGATCGGTTTAGCCCCTTTCTCCGGGTAAAGCACGACCTCACAACGTGAATGAAAGGATCCTACAAATGTCAATGCTTCCACGTGCAGCAGGCCAAGTAGTGCCACAACAACACCAGGACCGGCCAGGACCTGTTATGTTTTGTTCATGTCATCTAATTTACTGCCCCATTCTTAATTATGTCGCGCTCTTAAGTCAAAAAGGAAAAACACACAAAACAAACTGCAGGTCGGTCGGCCATTTCGACCCGATGTTCTGTGGAAAATCACGGTCGGTCACCTCATGTCACCATCCGTCTTCCTTCCAGAACGGACCGATGAGAAAAGGACCAAAAAGTAGAATTAAGTTTGTCTTTCATTGCCAAAGCCGTAGAACTATGTTCTTTTTCTAAATGTATTTGATGTCAAAAATGGAACATCTCGACGTTTTCAAATGTTTTGCAAAAAACGAGATGCCAAGGTCGGAAGTGAAGGCTTGGTCCTAAAACGAATACAAGTGGTTGAATGAAGCCAATTGCCAGAGTGTTGCGTGGTCCAACTTAAATAGAGAATTAGTGAACATGGACGCCCATCAGCAAACTGTAGCGAATGCCAATGGTCTTAAACAATTCTGCTAAGGAACTTCAACATTGTGCAAACATGTGCAAACTACTATATCATGTGTATGTCTATATAGACTTATATATATATAATATAGGCCTGGGAAGATTAACATGGAACTTGAAAACCACCATTTACAAGTTCCATATTAATCTTCCCGGGTGTAGATTCTATATGCACTTTCTACTTGTAGCATCTTGTAGCGCTAGAGGTGAGGGAAAGCTCGGATGGGCTTGTTCCAGCCCCAACTCTTTTGTGCCCTTTCTTTGGTAGGCAGATCGCTCAAAGTAACACTGTGACCATGTACGAGTAGGATGCATTTCGTATTTCGGACAGATCTCAACCCAACCCTTGATCATTGGAAACAGATTTTATTGTTTGACAATTTGACACCCATTATTATTGACATTTATTCTTGATAAACATAGCCAATTAATTACACTCAGCTGGCCAAAACCTTCGAGCCATCAACTGACACTTGATGGTTTGGGTCTAAATGATCCGGGTTTGTGGGTGGATCCCTAGATGATCCCTGAAACATGTCCAAGTGGGCGTGGAGGCACAAGTACTGCCATCCACGACAAGGATAGCGCGCGTGGAGGCGCAGGCCATTTAAAAATGGCTTCGAATATCTTCGAATGGAGTGGAAGGAGTTGGGGCAGTGTATATGTGTGTGAGTCCGCAACGGGAGTGTACGTGTATGAGTCGCTGATGAATGAAGATCAGAATGTTGAATGGGGGCAGTTCTGCTGATCACGATGCGACCGATGATTGCTGATTGGATTGCAAGTGGTTACAAGCTTACAAAATCCTTGGGATCGCTCTGCGCCACCAGATCTGCTCCGACTGATCCGGAACAGACACATGGACAGTCCAACGGATTTTGGAGCGGCTTCTTTGTGAAATTCCAAGGCTTTGAGCGAGTCCCAGTATGTATGTGGTCGCTAGCTCCCTCTTTGCCATGTTCATTCCCTTCAAATTAAGGTACGGAGGCACTGAGAATTGTGGAGGGCAAGCACAACACGGTAAGGCGCTACAGATGCTGCTGATCAACCGTGTATAATAGCTGCTTAGTGGGTTGGGTTGGGTTGGTTGGTTAGGCGACTCACGGGACGCGACTGCAACAGATCAACATAACGGCTCCGCAAACATCGTCATAACAACTTCAACCCGCCAGCGGACGAAGATCCATTTGAGCTGAACCATTCCATTTGCATTTGCGGACGTCGAAAGCACTGCTTGTGACACGCCGTGCTGGCGCCGAATTATGAATTAAAGGAAAAGAGAGTCATTCCAGACTGCATCACAGTAAGGTTGCATTGGGGCATCAGTCGAAAACTAAACCAATAACCACAACAGAACCAAGTCGATGCCCAGCAGGCAAAACAAACGAGGAAAAAGAAGAAGGAGAAGACAAACCAGAACAAGAAGACAAACAAAGAACAGGACGAGGACAACGAGGAGAGGTTCCACCAGCCACAAACACACACATAGAATCACATAGACTCATAGAGAAGCAAACAAAAAAAACACAGAAAGGGACCCCAACACAACCAAACACAAACACGGAGCAACTACACAGGACGGATTGGCCCGAGCCCATCCAAACACACCAAACATGCAAATATAACTGGTAACCTACAGCAACCACAACAGCAAAGCCCCCCCCCACGTCCTGTGGGGTGTGATCAATCGACTATGACCGGACAGAACCGCTGGTCTCAAGCTAACCACACCGTATTGGATTCCGCTGGGTCGGAGGTCAATCATGATGAGGCCATGTGTTCAGTCGAGCCAAAGCTTTTCGCGCGTAACGCGCGTCCATCAGGGGTGCGTGTTTTCTACTCAAAGAATCGACGAAAAGAAAGGTCGGCCTCCGGCCTCGTCTGAAGTGGGACATGTCCGATCGTCTCAGAGATTCTGAAGCGGAGATCGGATGATCCATGTCTTCCATGTCGGATGGCCGCCGGTAACTTCAGTGCCGAGCTTCTTGTCTGCAATGAAAAAGAGCCGCGTCGTAGACTGTTTGAAATAGTCTTGCCCTGCTGGTGCCAACTGGAAGAACCTGCATGAGTGAAGAACTTCGACACCCAAATCGGGTGGGCAAAGATGAGCAACGTTTTGCCGATGAATCTCTGTTTGACCAACTCGGAACTCGTTACAATCGACTGAACTCATCCGGAGTTGGATCTAGCGGCCACGGGGACGGATATCATCAACTGACAACCTATACCCGAATACCCGGGATGACCTGCACGAACAGGCTAGTGACTATCGGCTAGTGTCATCATCGAAGTAAACAAATGGTTTTCGGTTGCGTGTCCACGCGTTGCACCTCTTGAACAATTCCCGACGAAGATGGTTGATCTCATCCTCTTGCAATGCCATGATGAAGCGTTCCACGGCCTTCTCTTGAACCTCTGAAACAAGCGGATGATGCAGAAATGGTACAAACTTCAGGAGACATAAAGCAAACTTCCAGGGCAAATCTCTTTGCAAACACCTTATAGTTATCAAGTTTTTCAGTGCTCAGTGCTGGCCGTTGACCTCCGGTACACATGGTCTGAGACGATTTGTCCATTGATTTGCATGAAAGGATGTCTGGTGAGGATGTCTGGGCCAGAAATGGACCAGCCTACGCCGCAGCATGCTACGCCGCAGCATACGCAGATGTCACCGATCCGGTTCGGAGCGTTTCAGTCAGAAACCCCGCCTGTGGTTTTCCCATGTTCGCCTTCAACATCCGCTCGACGTTCTCCCAAAGCCAGTTCCATGCAACCTACGCACAACGTTCGTCGTTCCACGTGACATCATGGTCAAATCTGCCCCTTCAGCATTGGAACCGACCAGTTCTGGAGGGTTCAAAAACCCTGCAGTTCGCAGGGGTTTGGACCCGAACCAAACCTTCACCTTCGAGGGTCCTTGATTCTATAGGGTGAATGCTTTTTGAATGGCTTCTCACGCATGTCACTTCATGCAAGCGATCTTCTGGTTACCTCTAGGTCCCTGGCCTCGTGCTCGGAATCCCATTCCTGCGCAGCCCGCAGCGTAATTTGTTGGTCGGCAAAACGCATGTTGTTGCTCTTGATATTGCTTGATATTGAGGGAATCCAGTAACCAAAATGGGTTTTGCTTTGTATGGTCTTGTGTCAGCGCTCTAGGCTGCCAGGCTGGTAATGCAGTAGCTTATAGACCTACAGTGCAAACATCACGGGGCTACCAAAACTGACTCTTGCTCTTGCGAGCTCTGAAAGTGTCGAAGGATTTTCTGGGCGCATCACTTGCTCAGATTTGCTCTTGCTCAAACACGCGCCACCCCTTCCTCCCCTCACCAGTGCCACTGGCGGTGCCGGGAGTGTTCGACAACGTACATTGGTCCTTGGGTACCAGCGACCGCAAGGATGCCAAGGTCACAGACTTGAACCTGGTCGTCGCGCGGCGTGTCGAAAGGTCACAGGTCGTTGAAAGGGCGAACGTCGGCGCTGTTTGGAGCGCTCAAGAGAGCCTGATGTTCAGCGTTCAGCCTTGTGTTGCTTAAGGGTTAGCGTTTTGGACTGCAAGATGTGTTTTTGAAACACCGGAGTTCAGCAACTGAACAATGTCCCTCGGAATTCCTCCCCCCAACGCAAACAACTCGACCGCAAGTGGAGTCTGAGCTTCAGCTCATTTTGACAGAAAGGCATCTCAGAGGCATGACTGCAGAATCCCTTTGGCCCAACATGATTCTCGGAGTAGACACCCCATATACAGATACATCAGGTTACATCATAGATCAATAACACAAATCCCAGCTTTAAATTTTGTATATATAGTCCTTTTTTGAGGTGCATGCAAGATCCAGCACACTATATGTCATGAGCTCCCCACACACTCTGAGAACAAATCCATTCTCACACACTCCCCTCCCCAAAAAGGCAACTATGTAGCCCCCTTGACAGAGTATGTTTCTTGTATTTCTTCAAAACTCGAGCAGATACGACTTGCAACCGTCTGCCCCCACATCGACCATATTCGACCAAAGGTGCTCAGGCAAGTTGATGGTCCCGGTGTACCTTGAGCCACACATGGCGTTTGGGTCAGTCATCTGGCTCAACTCCAACACTGCTATCCATGGCATGGTCCACGTCCTATATAACACCTGGTTAAAAAAAGAAACATGTAAAAACCCGTGGCAACTCCAAACACCTGGCGCATGGCACGTCGGAAGCTGCATGTTTCGAGTTCGCACTGGATCGAACGATCCCCGAGCTGAGAAGAACCACCCAACGCATCGTCCTTCGTCTTCGGCCGAACACGAAGGATAGCCCCACATGGTCCCATGGCAGGGTTTTGCCGTCTTTGTTCCCATCTCCGGTCTCGCTGGTCCAGAGGCTGCTTCACCTGTGACAAATGAAGTACTTTCTTTCGCCAACGGCAGAGATGAGATTGGGGTGGCTGGGCCATCCATTTCGCATCCAAATTGACTAATTACATGGTCTACATATGAGCATTGTTCCAAACCTATGGATGATGTCTGTTCTAATGGACTCTCCTTTAAACTTCTGCGGCCTGCATTTGGGCTTTCGCAAGCTACTGCACAACCACTTTCGCAAGCTTTTGCGGAGAGGGCTGTTCTACATGAACCATGGGATGTTCTACTTGCACATCATGTTGACATATTTTGCAGATCTGCTGCTATCGAAGAGGGCAAGCTTTTCCGCATGAAAAGTGTGCGAAATCGTTCGCAACCTTGTGGTCACCTTCCGCAAAGGCATCTTACATTATATAACATTTAAATTGTTACACGGGAGGTTTTGGTGGCTGCTCATATAGTCATAGCCATAGCGTTTCTAGCGCGTGCATTTTACTTCAACATACCAGGCCACGTGGCAGGCCTTCATTTGCACAAACTCTGCATAGCTGCAGCCCATCCATGAGACTTGGAGTGACTTGGAGGATAGTTCGACTGCCGCAATGCGTGCCCAAGACACTTTGAGAGCACCAAGGAGAGGACATCACCTTCAGAGACTGAAGGTACCCGTCGGGATGGGCCATCTTCCAGCTCAACAAACAATAAACACAAGGGTCCCAGGTAGACAAAATGCCTAAAGTCCTGGGATTGGTGTTTGGTACAACAGCTTGCACAAATGGTTTCTTTTCACTTGAGGCCAGGGGGAGAGGTCGAAAGCTAGCCGAATCGCACCGGATGTACTAGTTACATAGTCGGCAAAGCATGTAGGGATTACATGTTTTGGGAGGAAGGTTGCTATGTACATACTTTGCGCTAAAGAATGTAAATGTGACATCGCTGACTGGGAAGGGTACATTGGAACAACCCGGGTGCACTCGTTGGCAGGCACGAAGATGCGTGATCGGCAAATCTGGGGGGTAAATTTACCCTCCGCTTTTGTATGCCTTGAGTCGGAAAGAGGGGTAAGCATTTCTGACATCATACGGACTGTACATACACTAGGGCGTCCGTAGTGTAGGAGAAGCACGGGTAAAAGGTATATGGAATAGTGTCTTGAGGAAATAGCCGGTGTATGGTTATTGCAAATCTGGGGGGTAAATTTACCCCCCGCTTATGCATGCATTAGGTTAGAAATAGGGGTAAACAACTTGTAACGGTGAAGTACAAGTCCTATGCAGCAAGCAGCAGCAGCAGCAGCAGCCGCCTGCAGCCAGCAGCCAGCAGCAACCACCAACCAGCAGCCAGCCAGCAGCACCACGCAGCAGCAGCGCAGCATCAAGCCGCAGCAGCAGCAGCACCACCGGCAGCAAGCAGCAAGCAGCAGCAGCAAGCAGCAAGCAGCAGTAGCAGCGGCGTCGTCAGCCGCAACAAGTAGCAAAGCAGCAGCTACAAAAGCGGCAACCAGCGGCAGCAAGCAGCAGAGCGGCAGCAGCAGCAGCACCCTTTACACCAAGCCACCGTTTACACCCAACCAACCACGTTCAACCAACCCCCTACACGGCGCAGCTGGGAGTTGAACCGCGGGGGGGGGGGGGTTAGCTTGATATATCAATCTTTAAGGCACGCAGCCCCTCCCACCACAACATTGCTAAAGCAAAGAAGAACTCAGCTAGCATGCTAGCTTTCGTGATCATGTCACCGTGTCAATCTACCATTCGAGAAACAGCACATCGCCTCGCTATATGCCTCTTTCAACGTACCACCTTTTCTCAATGGCTTGATTCCCGGCATCACCCACTTCCTCCACTCTTTGCCAAGATTCCCAAACCTTGTGTCCGTTCTCTTTCGCGGTGATTTCTTTGTTTGAACCAGAACTGGACCCTAACTACCGCTACAGAATCCCACACGTTGTAAGTTCTCTTTTTGAGGGAGTCCACTTACTTGCTTGTCCCGCTTGTGACTTGGATGCCGTTCCTACTGGGTCCTTCAGGTCTTTGAAGTTTCTGCGGCCGTTAACCTTGCCCCTGGAGGCAGTCGTGGCCACTCTGGTCCATCTGTTCCCATCTTGATGAAACCATAGCTGAAAGTACTTGGAAACTCGTGATGTCTGTCTTTTTCTTCCCACAACATGCACCCTCCGGCACGTTGACGGAGGCACACACTCAGAATGTGTCTGTCTCTCCACGACTTCGTCAGGTCATCGGTTTCGTGGGAACAAAAATTGATGAAGTAAGATGTTACTAGTAGCTTCTTGTTACTAGTAGCGATGGCCTCCAACCTAGTAGCGATGAAATTCCTTGTCCAAATGTTCCACCAAATGTTGTTCCAACCAGTTGATGCATGTTGATTCTGAAGACCCGACAGAGCAGCGCAGTGATTGTCACATCAACCTATTGTAAGGACACGTCGGCTGGGGAGGCGTTGGTGGTTTATACTTTGGAAAGCATGGATCCAATGTCAAGCCTTGGTCTCTGCCATCAAGCCTTGCTTGCTAAATCACTGTGCCTTACCTATCTGTAACTTCTACAGCTAAAGAAACCTGAGTGTCTAAACCATCTTCATCCATCTTGAAAACCTCTCCTTGTGGTGAGCCATCTTCCAAGTGCGCTGGAGATCACATTGAAATCACCGTGGGCTCCAGGTGCAGCGCGGTGCACGGTGCAAACATGGACGACTAATGGAGTGTGAAACATGGTCAAACGAACATCGAAGATGAGTCAGAAGCGGATTCCGTAGTAGAGTGGAGGCCAAACATTGGGGCAAACATATAGATGGCAAAGGGTGGTTGTTTTCGGGCAAATGGATCCTTGTCACGATCCAGGATTGAGCATTTGATGTTAATGAAATTTCTCTTTACATGATTAACCATGGTTCTATAACCACTTTGGTTGTAGTAAAACCAACTAACTAAACCACTTTGGTTGTACCGACCTCCATTTATCACTTTGGTTGTAGTTCCGGTCGTGGCTGGCCGAGACTGGCCACACCGAACCGAACCAGCGAACGGTTTTTTTGGTGTTTCAATGGCGCAAAAAGCGCATGTCTTCTGTCCAGATACGCGTTTCTGTCGATACACCGAAAGCGCCGTATACGGTACGGCCGTTTCAGAATCCGGGGCACATTCCTCTTGCAATCGATAGGAATTGGCCACGTTGGTGACGATGTTGTCGAACTGTTCCAACACGTAGCTCATCCAGCCACCTGGGAGGTGAGAATGGAGTACAAGACCGGGAGGTTGTCATGCGTGGGCATATGGGACAGCAAACATCATCCAAAAAAAGCAATGGCAGTCTCGGTTCTGGCTCTAGTAACTCCAGTATTTGGATCATTGTCTGGAATAAGATCCAAGGACAATGGAAACTCAACGCAGAATGCCTTGGAAACCGCTCGTGGCACAGAATGCCTGTGTTTGAGGGTCGAAAGAACTGGAGAAGGACAAACATAGAGACACAGAACGGAAACATGATCAGTAAAGCAATCACTAAACATCTTTTCTACGGACTCTCATTTGAAAAAAGATCAGCACCAACAAACACCTTGTCCTTGACAATTGCACGTCAGTCTTCTAAAAATACAAACCCACAACCTACATCCAAAAGGTGCTCCTATTCTTAAGGGTACTTGCAACTTGGACATGGTACCTGCTCCAGCCAAAAAAAGAAAGACCTTCTCATCTCAACCTTCAAAGCACAATTCAAGGCTTTCTAAACAACGCACCTACTTCAGAGGTCCTCTATCCCCGGCGCGGCATATCGTTATAGGTACTTAGTTGATAGTGACACAGCAACTTACTCGCCAAATCATACCAAATCACCAAAGTGCATACCAGCCCCTTGTGCATCACAACAATAAGCCTATAGTGCTTGAGGAAGCAACTCACCGGGAAAACAACCTCCTTTCACGCATCTGTTGGCCAATCTCCCCCCAGGACGCTCGGTCCGAACATCCTAAAGGATCCAGGGAAAGCGGCCGCCAATCAACGAATTTGGTCAATGCATGTCAACATCAACTCTTTGGCACAGATTCTGGATGAGTTTCCAGAGATTCGTTAGACTCAATCACTGTCCGCCCACCCACTCACTCCCACTTGTCAAAGGCTGGAGCACTCTCCGCAAAGCCCATCACAGCAGCATTGAAGAGGAACATCTCATTGAAGCTTGTCGGGACCTGGAACCATCAAATCAAGTGAATGTACATACTTGGGCTTCGTTTGGGTTGGTTGGCCTTACAAAAGGCATCTTGTGCTTTGCCTAGAGATTTACGGTACTCACACAAAGTCTATCAAATTCTTCGATATTTAAACTTGATGTACACATATGTATGATCTCCTTTTCGTGATCCTATCAGGGATCGGACTCCGGACGCGTCCTTTCAGTTGATGTGGACATGGATGGGACCCTTCAAACCATGTTGAACACCAGACATGGGTGTAACAAAACCATCATAGGCGACCATGCCTCCGCACACATCTCCTTTACGGTGGAAGAACCACAACTGGGTCTCGCAGGTATCCGGATCGCATGCAATGGTTGGATCACACTGGCTTCGGAGTCTTTTTGGAAGGCAACAGGACTTGCATATCCACGGTGATGTAGGGTGATGCGACGAAGAACGCTCCTAACGGACAAAAAGTTGGAACATGTGCGCTCTAACTCATGTCACTTTAATCAGCGAAATCGCGTGTTCCAGTACCAGCCGTGCCCTTCTCCTGATGCCACAGCTGTTGTCACACATTCCCATGCCCTAGTCCCACCCTGAATTAAAGACGACTGCGCTTGGCTACCCGCTACCCCAAGCGAAGACTGACGGACTGGATACAAACGGGGAGGGTTCTCCAAGGACTGGAAGACGTTTGCAAAGCACGAGATGTGAATATTTGTGTGTGCAATGTAAATATGCCTGTAACGAATTGGTCAGCGATTTGAGGTGAGGAGCTGCACCTGGTTGGAATACTTTGTAGGTTTAGCATTGACGTAAACCAGCTACGGCTCCGTAGAAGCTGTTGCACCATCGCGTTGCCAGTCAGGTCCCTCCAAAACGCTCGGTTCCACGAGAAGCGCGCACGACGCGCGCCATGAGTAGTCGCACAGGTCGGTCGAGCTCATCGCTGGTCGGTCGAGCTCGTCGCTCGCGAAGCGCTCGCGAACCGGTGGCGTCGGGAGCTTCGCGAGCTTCGTGTGGGGCGTTTGAAGATGCTTTGTGTTGGGTCCATCGGTCCATCTGATCGATCATATCTGATCCCTCTCTCTCTCTCACGACGCAAAAATCTATCGACTCATGTAGCGGATTTCAGTCAGATTCTGTGTTTTAGGGTGACTTAATCAAACCGCTATGCTAAAATGCCCATGAGAATTCACTGACAATGGGACATTCGATGCATTTGAACGTCACGAAACAGCACACTGACTGAGGAGACGAAAACAATCCTTTGTCCTTTGTAAAGTTTTGCTCAAGGTCTTGGTTGTTCAAGAACAAATCCTGTTCCTCTGTTCATCTGTTTCTTTCTTTTGAATACTTGAAATGCACCTCACACCTTTGACTGAACTCAGCCAGGCTCTACCGCTGAAGCCCAGTCAGGCTCCTCTTTTTCACCAATGTGGGGAACCCTCTGTCTGCAGCCAAAAAGTGACGGAAGGGTTCCCAAGTCCCAAGCATTCTCCTTCAATCAACTGCTGAGGCCCCATCAAATCATATATTGGGGATCAGAAAGAACATCATCGGGTTTCAAGCCTGCGACCTTTTTCACTGACTGGGACCATCAAATCAAATCATCAAATCATCCACGGAACTTTCATGTTCGCACCACTCTTCTTCCCACCCATCTCCATGGAGCCGCGGTTGGCACCTCGATCACCGCACTGTGTTGGAATTGTGCTTGGAAGCATATCATGTAATGTTGGATCCTGATTAGTAAAAAAATCATCTACAATGCTAAAATTTAAGAATTATATGTTTGAACACCATGTTTGTTTTAAGGGTCCTCTATTATGCTATGTGTTGGTTTACTTTTTTGGGGGGGAGGGTCCCATTTGTTTTACTATCTGGAAACATGTGGGCTTAAAATTGTTCTGAGCCATGTGCATATTACTAAGCCTATGGCTGGCTTGCTTAGAATATTGGCAATTGCAGGTTTCTCTCGTTCTTCAAAACTGACAGCTTCCCAAAGCCATCAATTCCTTAATCAATCCTGTATGTAAAGATTGCTCCTAAACACATTTTCAAGGTAGTAGACCAGGAAGGCCTCTGATCCTCAATTTAAAAATTTGCCTTAAGGTTCTTCAATTGTGCAAAGTTTTGTCTCAGTAAACATAGATTAAACAAATAGATCTCAGTACTACTATATGCACTACTAGGCCATTGGCTGGCTTGCTGATATTATTGAAAATCATGAGTCAACCTAGTTCTTCTTCAAAATTGCTGAGAACCTGAGAACTTTCTTGGTATTCTTCTTAGTAGTATAAAAGGATCGCTGAAAGTATCTACAAAGAACATGAAAAAGGAACTTTAATAATTGCAATCTATGAAATGAAAAGAACGGACAATGAATACTACAATCAATTGCAAAAGGAATCTTCCCAGGAACACAGATTTGTTTTGGTGGTAGTTTATTGTAGGGGACCTCCCATGAGTTTAGAGCGGGGGATCCCTTTTACTAATCAGAATCCTCCATGAATGTAGTGATTCTCCCAAGACTCTATAGTGGGATCTATCTCAAACAATGTGGCACATGCTCCGACGCTTCGTTTGGATGCTTTCTTCTACGGTCCACCCGCTGGATAGACCAAACGGTGCACCCGTGAAACACGGTCCGCTCCAGGTCCGCACTCCCGTTCGATGACCGTTCGTCAAGTGGATGGATTTGTCCCTCACCCTTTAAATTCCGATGTTCACCACTCCCTCCATCGGCATCGGTTTCATGTGTCGTTTTTTTCGGTGGGAGTTCACTCGAAACAGCAAACCACTGGGTTTGTATTTCAAGGCGCCTCCAGGGCCTCCAGTGTTTGTACTTGGATTCGCATTCGTGGCGGCATTCGTGGCGGCATTCGTGGTGGCCGTGGGCTGAGCTTTCGCTGCTTTGGGATCTTCCTCCTTCTTCTCTTTGTCCTCTTCTTTTCCTTCGCCTCGCCGAGAACCGAAGGGGTCAAATCTCCGAACATCATCTCGTCTCTGGATGATGGAGCGTATTTTTGGCTGAGTGATGTTGAGACCAAACGTGCACAAATCTATGTGTACTGTAATTCCATGCATATTGATCATATTATGTCGTGTGGAGTACGTGAGCAGAGTGTATGAATTGATGTGTAAGCTGTGTAAGAGGCACCTTGTCTGTTCTGCAAACATATCACGTAACAGGACCCACCAAGGCTCAGTTGGACAGCTGGCAGGCTTCTCAGCCTCAAACACCCCCAAAGAAACATGGTCTGAAAGGCTTGATCCAATGGCTTTCTCCACCCTGTTCTGCACCGTCCGGGCCCTCTTCTTTCTTATGCTCCACCAAACCTTCAGCTTGGCTTTCCGGATCGTCCTCCTGCACATCAGTCGCAACTGGTCGGCGCATTGGGTGATGCCCCGTGGCCAGAAGAATAAACTGACATGAATCTTATGTTGATTCTTGGGAAATATATAACAAAAAAGGGTCTGGAGATATCTTTAGTGTGGATTTGCGAGCGACTTGTTGTGGTCAGCCCCATGGAAGCTTCCCCATGTCTTTTCATGCTGAACATCCTATAGATTTGCTGTGTGTATCTCTATACACACATATATATATATATATACATGAATGTACTTGTGAACCTTGGTCAGTTTCAAGGAGTCCAGGCCAGATCGTTTCGCAGGGCGGCTTGGTAAACGGCCGTTTGGCCAGCTGATGAAACCAAAAGCCTGCCTTGTTGTTGGCTGTTGCCCAGCTCTTCAGCAATATGCGAATCCGGACGGCATATTCACGACCTGGATGGCCGATGGCAGGCGGGTCGGACGACGAAGGGGTGGATGGATCGAAGGATATCGAAGGCGGCGTCTCGCACAGCACCGTTCTTCAGAGAAGGACGATGACGTTACTTTTTGTTCCGTGACATCCAAGTGGAGACGCATGGGGCACCAATCTCCGCTCTCAGAATTCTTGGGCAACCCGGTTCTCACAACAGCGTTTACTTCAAGCAAATCGGAAGATTCCAAGACTTTCAGAATAGCTCGTTAAGTCTGTGAACACATGCTTTGACACGCACATGAGCTCCATCCATTCCACAGATTCCACACCGACAAACATGCTGTGGTGCCAAGGCACGGATGTAGATATACGCGCCACCCACGTAGTTCAGCACCACCTGGTCAAGCATGAAAGCACGCAGCCAAACACACATACACATCCCGTTGGAACTGATCCCACGGGTAGCAGAAGCTTTGGAACGGAATCCGGAACGAGTCTGTCGAGTTTGAATGAACGGATTTCCGAACCAAGGATTGATATATATATATATAGTACAGTATATTGTTGCAAGTGACAAAACAAGGAGAGGCGTTAAAAGGCATCATCTTCAGAGTTCAGTGGCAATTGGAGGAAGATTTACTGAAACTTATGCGCATCTTTGATTAGAGCACGTGGGCGGAACACAGCTTCCTCACGTTTCGCCTAACTTGCTGTGGGGGCAACACACACCAGACTTAGTTCTTTGACTCTCAATATCATTATCTAAATATATATATATAAATAGCGTAATTATAATGAATCGAATGTTTCATAACGTTTCCCCAAACCCCAAAGACTTGTGGATTTGGGCAATTGCTACCATCTCATACTATCCATGGAACAAAACCCGTGATTTTTGACATTCCCAGAACAACACAGCCGGCTGCAAGAAGCATCGCCAATAGTGTGACAGCTAGCACCTCTTTGACAATCCTGCCATCAACTTCTATAACTCAAAAAAGGTTAATTCAATGTCAAACATGCTTTGGAATCAATATGGTGAACTAGCATGATGATACAAATCTGTGGCACATTAAATTTCATGAATGGGTGATGTCGAACCAGCCCTAAAAAAACACACACATTCTCATTCTGGTTGGTCATAACCTCTCCCATCTTGTTGAGCTCGGCTCGCCCTCCGCTCCAGCCTGCAAACCCACTCGACTTTTGGAGGTGAGCCGAGGCCCAAGCTCCTAAGCGAGTCAGAACGGACGGACGCTCCGAGTCATCGTCGTTCCATCGATGTGATTGGCGCCGGAACTGCATTGGTGTTGCCGTTCTTCTGTTGGTGTGCTCTTTGTGTTTTTTTTTTTTTTTTAATGGGCGTTTTCAAGATCCTGGACGATCAGGGTTATGGCCCAAGGTGAAAGGAAAAGGTTATAAAAGGTTCTTTTTTTACTCTTCTGAGGTCGAGAGCTTGAGGTGTCCAAAGACTATTGACTATGGTGTCCTGGCTGGACCCTCCAAGTGGTGTCCTGGCTGGACTACCCCACACTACCGGCCTAGGCATCCAGACAGGGCACCCCTTGGAGGGTCCTGGTATGACCGTTCCTGGAGACCCGGGGTGACCGAGACCGGCGAAAACGAACACAGAAACCGGGTGGACCGATGTGATTCAACACGGACAAAAAACATCACGGACAAAGAAGGAAACCATTCAACTGGCGCACAGGTTGGTTTCATTCAAAATTCAACGCCACGAGTACTCACATCGCTACTATGCCGTACTATGCCGTACTGCCGTACTGGCCAGATACCGAGACGGGACTGTCTCGAGAAGTATATGCCATGCGGCCATCTCCAAGACTTCCAGTATCGCCTCCCTGAAGATGTCCACACGTGGTGGAGTCACTTCCTTAGCGACTTTCTTGCTTGGAAGAAGAAACATGAGAGGTCCTGTGAAGCAAACAAGTGTATAGAAGACCCAAGAATGAACCACGGAAGGTGCTAACAGCCCATGAACTTGTGGGTTATCCATCCCAGCTTTGTGATGCACAGCTAGCCTTTCCAAGAGAAAGATATGCCTAATGATTTCCGCACGAAGCATCACCAGCACAACAATCATCAGGAGGATTGGCTGATTGAGGGCAGGCTGGAAAACTCGCCCGCCAGGTTTGACTTTCCTGTCACAAAAACAACGCTGACCAGAAGAATGTTCCTCCGATATCCTCCAAGTGGCCAAATCCAAATGTTGAAAGCCCAGCGCTTCGACCTCTTTCGGAAGCCAAAGCGCGGCTTTTGCTGCTCGAGTGCTCGTTGTCGGATTTATGCGTATGTGTATATATATATATAGAGAGAGAGAGAGCCTGGTGAAGATCCAAGTTTACTAGGCATTTCAACATATATGTCTGCAAGGGGAATATGTATTAGATAATATTAGTATACGACTAAACCAACAAAACTAGGTGTTATAACATGAAGTGATTTGCTGACCTCCACAATTGTGATTGGACAGTGCTGGGGCAAGAATGGACCACCAATTGGAGCACTGGGTTGCCTGAAATAGCCCAAACTATATACTGTATATATATATATATATATGTGATATCTTGTGACCACTTCAAATCCATCATCCTCGAAGATGTTTGGGATACAACACATCTCAAGGTGAATCTGTTGAAAAACTCATTGCTTTTGAAGCTATCTCAGCCACACGGCACGCCTGCGTCTTCAGCCCGGGGGGGTCGTGGCAAATGTTGATAATGGCATTGAGGCCTCACCGGTCAGCCGGAGCACCACGAGTTCAGGTGCAGCTGAACAATGGTCGATCAGCACATTGAGAAGGACTTCTTAGGGGGGAATTTGGGAACATTCCACCTGAGCAGTGTTTTGGGGGACATGGTCTTTGTTCCTCTTTGTTGTACATAATTAATTTAACATCCTTGAAGGCATGTGACCTGTGGCCACATATATTCTTCAAAATGAGCATGCACAAACACCCACAAGCAAAGCATCAAGCCCAAACACTCAAACACTTCATCCAATCATATCCAATCATTTCAACCTCCACACCGCCAAGTGTGAGTGGCCTACATCAAGAAGTTTGCTGAAGGGCGCTGTATCTGAGAACCCTCGGAAAAGGAAGAACTTAAGTCTGGCCCAGCCGTGCCCACCGCCGAGTCCACCGGATGTGCCCCATGCTTTTTGGTGTCCACCGGATGTGCCCCATGCTTTTTGGCTGAGTTGGCCCGGCCGTTCATGAAGCGCATGGCCATGACGGACCTGAAGGCGGGGATGTCTCGACTGAAGCTGCGAAGCACCGAAGACAGACGTGCAGTTGAGCCTTTCTGAAAGCTGACAGTTGTGATGTTGTATTCAGGTTTGACTTTGATCATGCACCTCATGTGAAAAACTCACCGTGTCCACCAAGTAACCTACACAACGACCATCTAGAATCTGGACCACTGAGGATCAATCCTCCTCAATCACATGAGCCACATCAAAGGCTTTCCTCATTGTCCAGTCTGTCAGCTAATTCGACGTTGATGTGACAATGTGTATCGGTGCCCCAGTTCAGTAACGCCATGGATTGTCCGATATCTGTCATCCACTTGAGGATGACTCTAGTCTTGGGTTGGGATACATGTGTGCATATACCAGGACCTTCCAAGTGGTGTCTACAAATAGCCTTATATGTAACTATATATACATATTACAGTGGTTTCAAAGTAGATGGCACAACCCCCAAGATGTCTTTTGGATGGGGATCCATAAAAACCACCTTTCAGGAATTGTGTCATCTGCTCTAAATTCCACTGTATATTTATATGACATAGCTGGCCCGTGTAGCCGGAGCTCAAGAGGCAGCTTGGACTTTACAAGTTTCTTTCCACACCTGGTTCAGTACTTGGTACACCACAAATTAATCAAAACCTGATCAGACTGATGAGTCACCAGAATATGTCCGTTGATCTCATACTTCATATATCTTTTGATATCCTTTACTGAGACCCCTCCAAAACCGATCCAAACACAAGAGTCGCATCAAGAAACCGCCCCCCCAAAACGCTCGCTGGTCGCAGTCGCGTTAACACCGCTGCTATCGCGCCTCGCAGTCTTGAAGAGGCTCTGTAAGCTGGGTGCGGCATCGAAGAGCGCTGCGTAGATGGTCTCGCCTCACATGTCTGTTCGATGGTGAACCCGTGGTGTGTGGAAAGCATGAACGAGCTCCAATGCAAATGTTGGATGTATCTGCGTTGGCATTGCTTTTCACGCGATATTTCCAAGCCAAGCCAAGCTATTGAACTGTGTCGATGGTCATGCCATCCTTGTGCTCAGCCAGCCATGTTCACAACTCTTTGCAGTCCAATGCCGAGTTTGCTCTAGCTCTTTCAGACTCTTCCATTTGATTCGAAGGTATCAGTTTCCCCAAAGAGTGAATTCCGAAACACTCGCCCCCGACACGAGTTCGCTCGGGGGCGTCCCAGGTCCGCCTGCCGCCTCCCTTGAACTGCAGGAATTCAGGAAGGTTTGCCACCCCTGAATTCGTGTGGCGAGTTTGGCCGTGGAGCTGGCGGCGAAGGTTCAACACCCAATTTCTGATCATCTATTTGTTGTATTTTGCGGGGTTAGTAGCAGGAAAACAACCTACAAGCAAAAGAAGTTTGGGGCACCGATGTGGCCAGCTGGAGGAAGATCGAGGCCTGTCTTAGGGGCCGAGGGATCTGCCAGTTGGCTTCACAGGAAAAGGGCCAAACTAACGGGTACGATGTGCTTTCTCTACTTCATGAAAACTTGGTCGCCCAAAGGATCAACGATCATCAACATTCGTCACGAGTCCAAGAGAGCGCCCCAATACCAATCTCGCAGCCTGGAGGCTATGCCCCCCAAAGCCAGGGAAGTCATCTTGGGGGTAGTCCTAGATTCCACATAGCTGACATACCCATAGCTCTCTTGAGATTCAGTATCAAGATACCTATCAAGATATATCAGGATCCTCTGTTGCACATGCGGTTGTCTTGTGTACGTACTAATGATGCCAAAGGACTGCCTTGTTTCATTGGGACCGGTCCTTTCATGACAATTGGGTCTGAAGGTCAAAGGATCGCCGCATCCTGGGGTGTCGCTAGCATGATGAGCACTCTAAGGACCAATTTGCTGGTCGGTGCCCTGTTTAGTGGTCACGGTGTCCGTGCTGTTCAGGTGGATTCTTGTTGGCATCCCAAAAAACTGTAGGAATTGAACTATTTCTGAGGCGGGTATAACGGTATCACAGTACTGAACATCTCGTCTTCACACTCCACAGCTGGTCTGGCGTTCTTTTTGTTCCCGTCGTCAAGGTGTCCATCCCCTATGAACATCTATGAACCCTAAAGCTTTGATTAGTTGCTGTTTAAATATGTGTTTGTTCTAAGATGAGCTCTGTGGGATCTAGTGATCACAACCCTTGACAACACAGTCGTGTTTAGGACAATCCCTATGTCACCCCATTGCTGCCAAGGTGCTGTTTGTGCTTCTTGCGCAATCTCCGGAGGCAGGTGCAGCTCTTCGAAGACCATCTCTTGAACTGCCTGAAGAACGGACTTACGTCAGAAGTGCGAGATGGACCCGCTTCGGAAGAGGCGGCCGTTGTGACCTTGGTGACTTGCAAAAAGACCCCAGGCGGTAAACTGCGCAGAAAGAATCTGTGATATGCCATCAATCGACACACAAAACATGAACACCGGAAAAAAATACACCAGCATCGACCCCGAACCGCATTTGTTCAAATGGTTTGACGTCAACAGCCATGGGATACACGGATACACAAACAGAAACATGACATTGACATTGCAACTCCACAAACATAACTTTGTCCTTATCAAAAGCACGCCATTGGGCACTTTCGGAGGTGCATATGTTACATATGTCTTGTGAAATTGTGTTGTGAAAGGATACGAGTGGAGGGGAAACCGTTCGTGATAGGATGCAAGAAACACAAGCGGAGGACATCATGTCTTCACAGTCGGGAGACCAAAAAAAATCATCTCGCGACAAAAGCCCATGTGGACACACGAAGAGAGACGAGTGGGGAGACGGAACACATGCCGTGACAGGTTGAGCGAGGAGACAAAGAGGGAGACAAGCGCATGGGAGGGAGACAAGGCAGAATCATCATACCAAACATCCACTAGAGCCATGGGAAACATATGGAGACAAAGCGAACAATGTTCGCTGCAGCATCCAGGCTGCTCGCGGGGCATTGGATGGTATGGTACCATGGCCAAACTTGTGGACAAAAGGTTCGACGTCAATCCATGGAAAGAAATGCCGCTAATCCCCCTGATCACTTGACTCACTCCACTCCAGGCATTGGGCTCAGTCAGCTGCCATCTCAGGCGCTGCAGGATGCACGAGCGATCCCCTCTCCAGAACGCCAGGCATGCTGCAGGGTCGTAGGATACTGAAGGGCCCAGATCGCGCACACTTGGGGGTGAAGCCGAAGAAAGGAGCCCAGTTCACTAAGATCCCCTTCGTGGTACGCCAAACCAACACAAATCAAGAACATGGTTTGCCCGAACAGGTTCAACGAACCCTGACATAGCAAGCAGCAGGGGAGCAAGGAGTGCTTGGAGACCTCTCGTTGCAGCAACTCTTCAACACGTTGCGCCAGCTCTGGATGGGCCTGCTGTGTCAAAAGGGTGGTATTCAGCTGAGGGACGCCACGCACCATGCAATGTATACAGGGCAGGCGTGTCAGGGCCGAATCCTGGATACAACGGGGAAGGTTCACACTCTGCAATCGAAGATCCGGGCTGAAGTAGCCAGACTAACATAGTGTCAAGGTCCAATCGATCCTGCAGGATTTCACCTTCCTCGGCCTCACTGTGGTCATCCATAGCCCACCAACCCTCAAACCTCAACAGGAGGCACGAAATGTCCCGAGTACAAGGCTCATCGCAGTACTGATTGAACTCCAGCTGGAGGATCTAAAGGCCGGGACTAGGACTGTAACTTGAACTTCAAGATGCCACGGTGCCTTGATCAGCCTGCCTCGGTGCAGCATAGCTTTGTCAATCAGAGGGGTGTCTGCAGCCTGTGCAACAAAATCAAAACTGTCACAGTTACTCCGACAGATATGATATGTCTATACAAGCCCGGCCAGGTGGGCACACTCTGGAATCCTGCAATCGAATCTGTCAAGGGAACGAAAAAGTGACTGGGTCTGGCGTGATCGAATGAGCTGTGCGAAGATGCTTTCGCAGGTGTGGTTGACTATTGCAAACATGTGGACAATGTGGACACGGGAGAAGGAGGACCAAACCAACATGATTGGGCGAAACCGGCAAACAGTGAGAGTGTGCTCAAAGTGCTGTTCATATGGTCTGGAATGAAGAAAGTCTGCCTCTGGGAGCTGCAGAAGCTGCAGTTGTCGGATTCGTGCTTGTCTCTTCCACGCTTTGGCAAGATGGACATCAACGTTCTGTGGCCCCGCTCGGCACAGGTGGTCCTGCAGGTGGGATTGAGCGCATCACTGATACAGGTTCGAATCAACTCCTGCTGGCAGGGGATGGTGAGGCCTGAGGCATCAAGCCCATAAACAGGGCTGAGCTCAATCCGCCGCAACGTCAAAAGGCGGCTGTTGCCACTCGCACTCGAAGGCCATGGAACAGGCCAGGCGGGCTGGAGAGAAGTTACAGCTGCAGGCGGCTTCGAAAGTGCAGGCTCCCTGACAATCGCTCTACCTCTATAGGTGGCATAACCGTGAGCAGCTGGTCTACGTTGGGCCCTTCGAAAACTCCTTTTACATGAGCTCCTGGCTCTACCGGGGAAGACTCGATGCCCTCTGCTATGATTGTTTCGAAAAAGGCCATGAATGGAATGGGGAAACTGGTCTTCTCCCGTGCCCAGACATAGCACTGGCAGTACCCTCACCCTTAGCCTTACCACGCCAAAAATACAAAATTCCTCAAGATGTGCTGAGCTCTGAAGGGCAATGAGGTGGTCGATCTGAGAGGGCCTCAGCCACCATGGTGTGGTGCCGGAATTGGGACCGGCCAGCCAGAGCAGCAACCGCACCGCTAGGCAAGCTACCAAACGCTCACCCGGTCCATGGCAGCATGCCAAGGATGAAGCCTCGTCTCAAGAGGGGCGGCTGCGGAGCCACTCGAGCCGTGGGGCTTGCAGAATCATCTCAGCCGAGCATCCAGAAGAGCCATGGCAGACAAAGGGAAAGAAAGGGAGACAAAAGGCCAGAAATCATCTTGGCCTAGGATCGCTTCTAGGACGCCAGGCAAGAAACGATCCTAGGCCAAGAATCCTAAGATTATCATGTCGAGGCAAGAATTGAGAACCCCTCACATCACCTCGCTGTTTGGTTCCACAACCGTCCAACCGGACTCTATCGACACTCTATCGGACTCGGACTCGATCCTGACAGCCAGCATGTTGTCCAATCAAACATCATCCGCCAGCGACCTTCATCATCCGAAGGATCCCCTCCAGCTCACCCGCCTGATACTTTTCAACGCCTCAGTTGCGCAACTCCCGGGTGATCGAGTGCCCGAACAATCATGACCCCTTAGTCCAAAAAACATGCAAACCGCAACAGCGGTGTTGCAGCAGGTCGGTCAAATTTTAGCAAAACACATCATGTTCATCACCCGCTTGAGTCACCGCCGTAAGCAACATACAATCCGAATCAGTACATGTACTTGATATATGTTTTAGGCATCCTCAGCATTCATCTCGGACTGGACTTACCACCTGCCACCCATGAGCTGCAACCCAGTGTCTGGCACCAAGGTCAATGACCTCCTCTGGAGGGGCTGCTTGTCCTTCCTGGCAACTGAGCCCTTGTTTCCTACTGTCAGACATGCTGAAGGATCCAAGTGTTTGGGGGTCCAAGGACCTAAGGACCGCGTAAGCTTGACAGGTCTTGATATCTTTGACATCTGAAGAAAACAGCAACAGGAAGGGATAGTGTGACTTTCAGGGAGAGGATGAGGCCACTGTATGTACCTTTCAAACCACATGACACCAAATTAAAATAGATTAAAGTGAAACAGGATGGCAAGGGCGCGGCCCCTTAAAGCTTTTGTTCCAAGTGCTTGGATTTGGGTTGCCAGCTTACAGTAATGCAGCACCAATACCAACTGTTGTCTTGTTGTCAACGAAGCCATCTAAGAAGGTCGTGCTTGAAGCAACCTTCAAAGCATTCCTAAGTTGGAAAAACTTTAATTCCACAAATAAGTGTTCAGGGGGTAAGGTCATGAAACAAATCGAGTTCCTAAAACAACCCATGTAGCCCTGCAAGACTTTCCTCTGTAAAGATCACAGCCAAGCTGCACTGCAAGACATGCTCAAATTGAAACTTAAACACCGACTCGTATCATTTCCCAACATCTCCGACTGGCCGGCTAAGAAAATATCATGCAGCTTTAGACTTTAGACTCAGACTGAAGCGGATGACAAATCAACGTCCGGTGAAATGTCCGTCGTCCAGCTCCTGCGGCGCCGGTGTCGGGAAAAAACTCCAATGTGCGACCAGTAAACGTGTGCTCCCAACCTGGCTGAAGTCCCAAGGTGATGGTTGATCCATCCTATCTTATACCGTATACCCAAAAAGAGTGCGGTCAACGAATAGTCGGACTTGCACCCTTGCACCATTTCGGGCGCCCTTCTGGCGATGCACCGGGCCGTCAACTCCCTTGCTCGCCGCCTCTGGCTCGGTGCCAGTGTCAACCTCTGCTTCCTGGAGCGAGATCTCGTTCTGAAGCGAGAGAGACACACACCCCTGGGGCATCCGAGGCCCCTGCAAAACCGGGTCGTCAAAGAATGGCATTCCAAACAAACGAAGTTCCAAATGGTTAGGGTTCTCGGGTTCTCACTGATCCAATGGTCCCAGTCAAATGGACTAGGCGGCTGTTTGGGGTGTTGGAACCGATCAAAGAGAAAGTAACTAATGGGTTCTTTGGCTCAAGCGATGGACGATTCTACCAGTACCTATCTGTTTGATTTGACCTCACACGCTGCTGGGTACCAGTTTCCACCAGCCAAACGGCCAAAACAATCACAAGCATCGCACAACATATTCTTCGTACCATATCACACCATAGCAGTTTTGGACTTGACCAGCTACAGTGCCACTTGGTCACTTGGTCGCCCGTTCCCGGAACACGCCCACGGTCCTCGGAGGAATGGTTCTGAGGGCGGAGGAGGGTGACGGCGGATGGTCGGACCAGGTCGTTTCCACTTGGATTAGAACAACACCATAGCAGTGAAGCTAATTATACTAGTAGTGTCCTTGCTATACGTAATGCCCTTGTTAGTAGCTTCTTGCTACTAGTTACTAGTGAAGTGAATGAAGTCGGTTTGGGCGCTTGGAGTCAACTTGGAGCTTCAACAAATATCGCCCGTGGATTTGGAGCTCCAACCCTTGGAGTCGGATGTATCCTCAAAGGTTGAGTCCTAAGGGCCTTGGAGTTGTCTGGAAGTAAGTTGTGCCTGTCCTCTCAACGACGTGCTATCTTTTGCCAACCTTTCTGAAATTTGTTCTTACTCTACTAGGCTAACAATAACATCATCATACATCATCAACGTGTCAATCTTCCTCTTGGATACGCTTACTCTACCGGCCCCCAAAAAAGAAACACAACCACTCGCTACATCCCGAAGAAGTCGTCGAAGCGTCGCTGAAACGTCCAGTGACCGGTGAGAACGGTGACTAGGCACGGTCCAAAGGAGAGAGATGTCGGGAGTTGGAACGGGTGAGACACACTCTCGATAGACATGATCGGGGAATCTCATGGAATCTCCAAATGTATACACAGCTGAACATCTATGGCCGTAAGTTTGACATGCGTATCATTATCTATTTGCTGCACTCAAAATAGTATTCAAATGTATTCAACACTGTCCTCAGTTTCGACTCACCTCGACGTGTTGACAGGTTGTCCGGTCCCCAGCCACTTGGTCTACGACCACCCGACGGACCTCGGCCCGAACGCCCCCGGGCCTCATGATCCACGAGCTCCGTGCCCTGGCGAGCCAGTCCGAAGTGCAGACGAGCCCGGTGCAGTGCACAGGTGGTGTCACACAATGCATGTTCTACCAGTAATCACTCGCATGTTCTATCAGTAATCGCTCGTGTTTTGTAAGAAAGAACATGAGAACCAGTTCACACGAAAGACATCCAACAAACGACCACGTTCGAGAGAGATCAGGTCGGTCACACTGGGATGGCGGAGCGATCCGTCGCAGATGACGTCGACCGCACCTCCTCGTGATGTCCATGGTCATCGGGGTCAGACATGGCGGGCCTCGCTGCGGGGTCAGACATGGCGGTGACCGACTTAGAGGTTGGTTCCTACAGGTTGGGGTCCTTTCTGGAAGCGGGGCTGGCAGCATATCCCTTGAAACCAGAGATGGAATGGCCAAGGGGGCGATGGGCATATCTACCTTCATGACTCGCGATCACTTGCAAGAGCCTCACCAGGCGCATCATTGGTGTTTCACCAGGCGCAAGAGACGGCGGCGCCAAAACCAGCAGAGTCCAAGGATCATGGATCACACGAGTCCAATCGCTGGGGTCGCTCGGCGTCCGACGTCTTTGCTCTTCCGACGTGGAACGGAAGACCAGTCCACGACCCGTTTCGAACCCACAGAGCCGAGCGACGTCGAACCCTCGGGGTTCGGCCGACCTCTTGTCTGACTTGAGCCAAGTGATCTGAGGAAGTGAGTTTGGTGAGTCTTTTGGGGTTCTCTGCTGTTGTTTCTGAAGGCAGGAAAAACCGAATCACAAAACCAAAGTTATTCACCTTGTCAAAGTGCCCTTTCTTGAACACTCCATGAGGAGCTTTTTGAGGGTTGCCTTTTTGCGGACACAAGAAAACACCTGAAAACACAAGGAACTAATAGCTGGGCTGAGATTTCTCGGATGCAAACAGGTGGCCAACTCATATGTGTCACATTATGGCTGTAGGTCAAGACCGGGGGACCTTGGTTGATCACAGAAACAGAATAGCCTAATAAGGTCAACCTACGGGTTCTTTCAGGGTCTCCAGGCTTTGACCCACTGCCATATCAATCTCCTGTCAAAACTGGTTCATGAAGTCTCTACCCTTGACCGAGAATGGAAACTGTGATCAAGATCAGTTGCAGAAAGCACTGGTGGGCTGCGATGCGGCGATCAGTGTGGCTCGTTTGCCAGGGTTGCCAATTCCACGGAGGACTTTGGGATTCTTAATGAAATGCGCACTTGTTCCGAAACACTACCGCCCACTACCAACCCGTTCTCCGCCACAGGCGCTTGCCGATCCTTTTCAACGCTGCACGGTGTGGAAACAACCCAGACCTTCCTGTCATCTGCTACCAAAGCTCAAAATGATGGCAACTGCTTCGCAAACTGTCTGTCAGCGATCAAGCAGTGTGGAATCATCTGTCTATTCCTCATTTGGTCTGGTGACAACAGAAGGCTTGCCTTAAGCAGCTGGGTAAGAAGGCCACCTGGCACGCTGGCACCAGGGTATTTGATTCCATGTTCGATTTTGTCAAAGCCATGTTTGGTCCCCATTTTAGGTTTCTGGGAGTGTTCCTCAAGCTTTCAACCATCTATATATATATATATAAGCACTATATACACATATAGCTACTTATGCACTTGTCAATGCCACAATTGGAACATACTTGTTCAAATTGTTTCATACACAGAAGCTTCTTTCTTCCGTGGGTTAAACAACTAGTTGACCTCATCACCTGCAGACAAATCTCACATTCTTCCGCAAGCTCAGCCTCGGTGATGTTGAGTTGTGCTGAACCTCTTGGTGTCGGGGTGAAGCATCCTCAATAATTAATAGTATCGCAACTACCTAACACCAGCCTTCCAATTCTTGTTGTTGTTAGAGAATGTGATGCTGTCTCATCAGGTGTGCAATAGGGACACTCCCAGGCAAAGCCTGGTGAAGATCAACTACACCCAGTGTTTGCAGGGTCTCCGTCTTGCACATCCATTTCGAACGATTTCGCTCCATCAACTGCAGCGAAAAGTCCACACCTCATCACACCTCACCGTCGTCATCGGTGTCCTCGCTCATTTCACTTCCTCTGGCACCTCAGTTTTGGGCCAATTTCACCGTGCGGAGATGCCCTCGGGGCCTGGGTTCAGGTAGAAGTACCACAGGCTCAGGCTGAGGATTTGTTCAGGGATTCCTAAGTTGATCAGTTTCCAAGCAATGAACTTCTAAAGATGGTGCTGCCCATATGTACCTCTTGATCCGCTGGGATGGTTTGGACCCTTTTCCAAGGGAGAAACGGAAGGTGACCTGAGTACTGGCAGGTGGATGGTGAAGGAACATGTCGCCTCGAAGAAACAGAATTCACCAGGTTATGGAACATTGGTTGTTCGTCGGCATGTGATTCTAATAAGGAATATATCATATGAGTCGTTGCATTGAGCACCACAGAGCTATAGGTTCAGCAGCAGCCCGCCTCCATAGAGATCCAGAAAAAAAAAGAACTAGGTTGACTCACAAGCAGTGCAACATGAGCCGTTTTTGAGTTACGGCCAATCCTATGTAGCAGCCCGCGTCTACAGAGATCCAGAAAAACTAGGTTGACAAGCAGTGCAACATGAGCCGTTTTAGAGTTAGGGCCAATCCTATGTTGAGATATGAATTGAATACACTGAGTCTTGCTGGTGGGTGAGAACCTGTCAGGCACGCTGTGGTTGGTTTCCAGGCTCCCAACAAACGTAGAATGTGTGCTTGAACGTCATAGAGTATCTTGTTCTGGTCTTTACCCTACCCTGTTCAAGTTAGCAGGATGTCCCAGGTGGCTGAGGTTCCCGGCTTTCAGATTCATTGTTGCTGTTCTCTCTTTCCCTCTTCTTCTTCTTACGGTTTTTTGCCCATGCGCATAATCCTTGGGCAAACAGAACGCTGCAACGCTGTGGCTGTAGAGAGGTCAACCGCCCAAATCCGGTCAATCCGCTTCGTCTTGTGGAACTGCCGGATGTTTTCAGGCCAACGGCCAGGTCCATTGGTCTGACTGCAATGGAAGCATAAACGAAGATAAAAGAATGACATGAATACACCACTTGGTTTTTCCCAAGTGCATACATCTCTGACGGTCTGCAACTACGTCGTAAGCATCGTGTCGGGGACCAACGCTATAGACTCGAACGCTATGTTAGCAACTCCGCCGTTTTGCATCATTGATCCCTATAGTCCCAGCAACTACGGCGGTAAACTGGCTTCAAATGCCAGGTTACTGGTAGACCAACGGATTTGCGTCACTTGAAATCACCCAGGAAGTGGGAACCCCCCCAGGTGCGGATGCTGGTGTTGTCTACCCAGCGCAATCTCGTGTATTGGTCTACCCAAGTATATCAATATATACATATATATATATATGTTTATATATATATATATATGTAATATTATGTGATATATATATATATATATAATATTAGAATCATTAGAGAGAGAGAGATAGAGCGCGGAAAAAGCGTTTCGGTGACAAATGTCTGGGTCATGCTATTTCTCACACTGCGACACGGGTCCGTCCCAGACACTCTAGAATCAGTGAGCTGAGGAATTTTGGTGTCTGGATTTCCTCATCTTGCTGCTCTCGGACCAACTTTGAGGTATGTGAAATGACACTCTCTGTCTGTTCCTATTACTATTGGAGAAGTTGACACCTACTGTTTCCACCCCATCCCATGGCACCTCCTTTCCACAACCGCCCCATCCTCCCTTTCCAAACGCGACCGCCCAGGGACAGCTTCTCCAGGCGGGCGAACCGGTCCTTCTGTGGCCATCTTCATTCTCAGAAATTCTGTGTCACCGCAGGAACTCAGGAAGAAGTAATAGTTTTAAGGTGTTCTAAGCAGGGGAACTTGGAAATCCCAAGAAGATCCAGTATTGCTGGTACCACAAGGCTGCACTTGGCTGTGGAAATGATCGTAAAAAATCCTGGTACCACATGTTCTTGCACGCTGTCACTACATCCTCAAGGAAGCTGGAGGATTCGGAGAAGGACTCGAAGAAACATACTGTCACTGTACGCGCATGTACCCGCCATACAACTGTGCGCATGCCTCTCTCGCACCAAGTGTATAGATGTATAATTATACATATATAATCATATATATATAGAAACATGATGAAACATGGTCATGCGCTCTGGCAAATGTGCACTCTACAGAATCTGGATCACTCAAAAGAATCACCCCACCTTGGTCAATCTGCTTCATCCAATGTGTCATGTGTCCAATGGGGATTGCTTCTTTACCAATTCACGTTCGACTCACGCCCGCCTCCTCGGTGATGGTGCCCTCCTCGGGCCATGGCTTCGACGGAGAGGTGCTGCCACCGAAGCGCAGGATCCGGTCCACCTCCGACGGACCGCGTGGCGAAGACGTGGCAGGCTGGCAGGTGTTGGGGAAGCAGCAGGGTGGGCCCCAGTCCTGCGAAGACGTGACACGAAAGGTCGTCCCCGGGGACGGTTTTAGAAGGAGATACCAAGGAGTAGCTTTCAGTCTCACAGTTGTGATGCAAAGAGATCTTTGTGAGCTGGTGTCAACATGGGTAACTCTTGCAAGAACTAGGCCAAACAATGCCAAACATTTTGTCGAGCAGGGTTTCAACTATGCAACACATTGCAACATCCATCAGTATTCTGTCCCTAGGGCTCCAAGTACCTCCTCAGATGGTATTTGGACCCTCAAAACCGACCCCAAAAACCTTCTCAGAAGGTACTTGGAGCCCTAGGGTATATTAAGTATCCCATAGTAATGTTGTTCTGCACACAACGGCTGAATGAAGGCCAGGTCTTCGATGGAGGGCCCAGTCCTGGAGAAACAAGTGTCTTCGACCCGCAAGTAGGCAACGCAACCACAACTGGATATCTGAGACACCTGTCCAGCCATTGTAGCCATGGCGTAGTTGGGTATGTCTTCGGAAAAACCATGGACGAGACATACCGATAGTTTTGATTGCATCTCCGAAAACGGCGGAGTGTTCCCATGTGCTGAGTTCCGGACAGGGGTCGGATTGTCCTCAGCGAAATCAATGGCGAAACAATGCCGTCTTAGGACCAATTGGCAGTTTCGAAACCTGAACTGTCAACTGCACGTGGGATTCACAGATTAATGAGCACCAGTCGAGTCATTGCAGTCTGTTGTCTCAATTGCTGAAGTTGGATCAATCGCTAACCCTGCAGGACCCAAGTCAGCACTTATATGGAGGAAACGCACTTGCAAGCGATTTGCACCGTCTAAGCAGCGAACAAGGATTGAGCGCTTGTGAACTGTTCGGGTCCCACTCCTGGCTCACCAGACCCGCAACTCAGCCTGGACAAGGCCTTAATTCTGACGTATATGTTGGTCAATTTCATAGATTCATTAGACCATTAGACATCATTGACACACCTTCCGCAAGATCTTTTTGCACACCAGAATAAAGGTTTGTGATCCCCAAGCAAGCTCTGTAGGATTGAAGAATGAAAACTATATATATATATATACATTGGGTCTATCCTGCTATCAGTAACGGTGGATGATGGTTCAGTTGCATGCCTTTCTCTAAAGTAGTGATTTGCTTCTTTACCGATGTTACAGGTAGTAGGACAAACCCAATATATTTTTATATATGTATATGTATGTATATATTTATAGAATATATACATTTCTATATGAAGAAACCCAATAGTATATATATATATTTTAAAATATATATATATACAATATAGTATACAGTATACATTTATCGCGAACCATGTCCACCTACCGGTCGTCGATTTTGGGTTCCTCCAACGGCCGGCGCAAACAAAGACGAGCTTCGCTGGCAGGCTCAGCCAGGGACACCCCGCCTGGGCCAGCGGTCGGTGGTGGACCAACAAAGTGGGTCAAAATGGGTTGAATGTTCTTTTAATTTTCTATGGCACTGTGTCAGATTCCGGTTGCAATTCAACGAGTATGAGGAAAAATGGTGTCCAAAACCTAAGCTGGGCCACTGCAGGTTCCGGAGCGGAGGAGGTTCCGGAGCAAGTTCCGGAGCAGGTGCCGAAGCAGGTTTCGATGAGATCGTTTTGAACAAGGTTGAATATACAGTATGAGAAATTGCATAAACGGGGAAGGCCTGTCGAAAGGACACATGTTGATGTGTATTGTCAGTATGACAACCTTGCAGAACCAATTGAAAGAGCGTAGCTGCTTACAAATGTTTCACATAATAAGGAATGCATGTTTACCTAGGTTTGAGGGTCGCAAGGTGCACAAAGCACCACATACTTACCCTATGTTGGCAGCATCGTGTCACAATCATGGAAAAAGGATTATATTTCGGAAGCACACATTGCAAAGGATGAGCACCTTTGACTGCCAGGATGCCAGGATGCCTTTTCGTTAAAAGGGTTCACGTGTTTAGATTTTGTGGTTTGCCAAACCCTATCCGCAGGAATGTGGAATATGCTTTCTTCCGAAGAACCCAGGAATGTGCAAAGCACAGTGGGCTTAACTGATGTTCACATGCAGTTGTTTCTTCTATTTCTGCAAAATGAAACCTAGGTCTTGGAAAGGTTTTCGCCAAAACGTGCTGTAAAACACAGTGCTGTTTGATATCAAAGATCAATCATAGTTCCTCACCATTCTGAGTTTGATGAAATCCACAGAGGTTCACATTGACATGTCCTGCCTGCCAAGCCGATATCGCCTTCGTTGAACTCCAACTTCTCGGCAAAGTTCAAGTTCGTCAAGAAGCGCTGCCAGCCTCAAATGGCCCATTCTCTGAGTGCTAGCAGCTAGCACCAGAAACATCCATGCTCAGAAAAGGAACGAGACCCCCGAGTCTGCGAGGGCCTCAAATGGTGAAATCATCTCAGTGAGCGGCCATTTCTTCTTCGTGTTTTCTCGCCCTGGCCTCACTCCGACGCCTAACGTCCACTCTTCGTCCACTCAGCTGCTACCTGGGCCTCCGGGCTCTTGCTACCGGCCCTGATGGTGGACCTGAGAAGAGTTTGGCACGGGCGCGGAGAGAGTCCTATATCCAATATACTATCCAATATCTTGGGTCTGTCCGACTTACCATCAATAGTGGATGATGATGGTAAGTAAAGGCCTTGATCAAACAACATAGATTAGTTTGTTTACTAACTGTTCCAGCATATATCTATATATATCATATTAAGTATGATGTCTACTGGACGCAAAATAGCTTGAAGAGTTGCCAGATTCTGCTTTGTCACGTCACAAATTCTTTGAGGCGCCAGCATGGTGACATTCGCGCGATCAAGGCCTCAGGAATTCAGTCGGAGTGCTGCTCAACTGGTATGTTTGGCACGAACCCGACGGACTTCCGGCAGCTATGTTTGGGGCATGGTGGTTGGTTGGCATGGTTGGGCATGTAGTATCTTTGGGCAAAAATACAACCAACCTTCAAATAGAATGCAAGTTCTAGGTCCGGTCATTGGCCCGAAGTGCTGTTTGTTGTTCTTTAACATGTTGCGTACTACATGGACTGGATGCTGTAGACTAGGCCATGTTCGAGACGTATGCCTTCCTTCGAATTTGTGTGTAGGCTCAACGGCAATTCGATCTTGGACCCGACTTGGAGTGGATCACGTGGGCACCGAAGCCTCTTGGACTGCCTCAAGTTTTTTCTACATCAAGCTACTCTCTGAAAAGCAACTCGTTGCAACTTTGGCAGCCTTGGCACGTGTCATGTGCAACTTTGACAACACATGCCCAGAATGTGCAACTCACATCTAATGCTGGCAACCTTGGCAACTCCATGCAAATACCACTCAAAGGGTTTGCTTCCCACACTGTCCGACACTGTCCGACATGAACCTCACCGGTCCACGCGCTTTGATCACAACATATCACAACTATGGGAGACGCAGCATCGCAACCTGGTAGCTTTCTACATGTCGGACTGGTTGCCAATGCGATAAGTTCCATAAGTGTCCTATAAAGTGGCGTACACATGCGCTCAAGGGACGTATAACATGGGCTAACATGGTTCTCTGCATTGTTGCCATGGTTTTGCATTGCATGCTCGCTTTTGTTATTGCCCAAGTGCTTTTTGTTAACCCTGGGTTCTTTGACCCTTGTCTAATGAACTTGGCCTGATGAAAGGTGGGGTGCTGGTATTGGGTTGTTGGAAGAGGTATTAGTTATTAGTTATTCCTTTTGTCCAAAGTACCAACACCAATTCTCCATGTTTCTTCGGCAACTGTGCTGTCAATCTCCATTGGTCCATGCAGCCTTTTTGAACATGCCTCCATTCATGACTGAACAACCGACAACATCCGTTCTCCATGCCGGACAGGGGGCGAGCGTAGCCGTACATGTCTTGGACAATCTCCTCAGATTGGGTGATCAGTGCGACTCACACTTTCATCTGATCAGTTCTGCGTTCCAAATTTGAACAGCCCTGCTCTTTGCAAATCCCTTGAAGTCAAAAGACTCAGGTTCGCAATCCCGTGTTTCACAACAAATTGCTTTACACCCCAGACCTTGCAAGATGCCAATGTTTAGAATAGAGGGGTATACACGCCTTTCTTGAATCGCATGCGAACTCACATCTAACTGCGTCAGAATCCATATTCGTCAATTTATCATACGATGTTTATATGATGTTTGAGTCATGTTGGTTGAAGGAAACGGTTTCCTTGCCAATCACAGTGAAGGAAACAAAATTTACCTCTACTGCCTCTACTTCAACTCCATCAAAGTGGTGCTCTGAGTTTGCTGCAGTCATTGGCCCAGAGTTTTTCTGTACACATTGATAGACATTATAAAACAATTTGATTTCTTCTCAAGTGTTTAAAAATCCTGGAGTTCGAAGAGGCATGACTCATGATGTCTTTCTTCCAGGCTGTTGCCCCTGGTTTCCCTTGATTCCCCACAGCAGCGGTAGCCAGTAGACACTGCAGAAACACGCAAACTAGACCTCCCATAACTAGACTCTAAACTAGACCTCCCCGCAAACTCTCGTCCGTGGTCATGGTTTCAGAGTAGATGGCACAAGCTGTCTTTTAGATGGGGATCCATATAAACCACATGTTTGGGGATTGTGCCATCTACTCTGGACCCACTGTGTCTGTCTCGTCCGGGTGTCCGAGTAGGATTCGCTCACTTGGGCCACCAAGAGATTCCTTGGGACGTCGAGGCCATGCGAAGCGTCGCAGAAAAAGGGACACGGGGTCACCGGTGTCTCATGTGCTAGGTTTCCATGTTAGCTTGTTGACCCCTCCGAAGGAGATCTGATTTCCCAAAACAAGAGAACACTAGCAAAACAAGAACAAACGATTTTTCACTTCAGACTCTCCTGGAAAATTATCTTGGATATCAAACATGAATGACTATATAACTGATTTTTATGTAGTAGCTCCAATCCGTTCCGTCTTGCTCTTCTTATCCATATATACCCAAATCACGTTAAGTATTCTATTGTCGAATCATGTCGAATCTGTTCCACCGCGTCTTTAGCTCTACACAAAAACCCACTGACAAGTGCAACCATGCAAATCCCTCTCTGTTAGGCTCTGTTAGGTGGACGCCCTATGGCGGGCGGCTGGGGTGGCACACGTCAGACGGTGCCCCGCAGCAATCTCCCCACTTGCGCCAAACATGGCCGGAGTGGTGGAGATGAAGGTGAAAGGGAAAAAAAAAAGTCTCAACCAGAGCACATGTGGGCGCCAAAAACGCTGCAAACATGCTGCCTTGACCTAAAAAAAAACATCTAAAGAGATGAAACCCACGCCACGTCGTAATGCACCTGAGGTCGCAATTTTTTCAAAGCCGCATGAACCTGAGCAGTACAACGACCAACGTGGAGGATCTTCTGATGCAGAGGCTCCAACTCAAGCACCGGTTCAAGCCACCACTCCCAGCGCAAAGCATGGGAGACCACGGCCGTGCACCGATGGAGCAGATGGGCCAAAGTAAGTGGGTGATTACAGTGAGGGCAGCCGAGATCCACGCCAAAGCTGTGGTGGCCAAACACACCAAAGGGAACTTGCCCGGAAAGGCGGGAGAGGTACCAAGCTCGAGTATAGAGCCACTCACGTTTACTCCAGTGTGCCGATGCAAGTATCGCCAAGACTTTCTTCTCCAAAGAAGCATCACGCAGCCAAGGAAATAAATTTTGCTCCTGCGATGCAAGCCAGTCGCGATCAAAATGCAGGAGTTTGGGAAGTACAGCCGACCGTATCCAAAGGCGCACCTTAGATTTAATAGAGATCGTTGGAGCCACATGCTGAGCAAACTCAATGAAATCCTCAGGGATCCCAAATCTGTGCTCCAATGCCAAGGAATCATCTAACCACGTCGCTCCGGGCACTCGCCGTGCTCCTTCCAGGATGCCGGGAATGGCACTTTGACTGGGCACCATAAGTAACCTAGCCCTGGCGGACAAGATCCGCAAAGCCACCTTGGTAGCAAGACGTAGGTCAATACCTAAAGCACACAAGACCCGGGCATAGCCCCCTGAGCCAAGGGAAATGCCCTCAATACCCAGTATGGCTTTCAAGGCCCTATAGTGCGCTGCATTAAGACGTTTAGACACCTGCAGCCACCCTACTGCAGCACTGGCCAGGGGTTCAGTGCCATGTAAAACTGAGCTTTCAACCCTTATGGCCACCTGCTGAGTGTGGTGAGGGAGCCCAATGCCTAGATCACGTAGGGAGACACAGAGCTGGGAGGTTTCCTGTATAAAACGAGCGCACGTGACTTCAAGCAAGTGGGCGAAGCTAAGATTGCTGTCAAATGTGGGCCCAAGCACATTGAAAGAGGAAACCAAACCAATAGCAGCCCCATCGAGACTGGGAAGGTTAGTGGAGCTAGGTAGACTAGCCGGAACCAACATCAAGGCCACCTTGCTTGGGCCAGCAGCAAACCTGTGTTTCCACAATTGCAAAAACTGTTCCAAGGCCTTACATACTCGATTCATACCCCACAGCGTGGATTGAAAGACAAAAACGTCATCAACAAATTGAAAAACTAGCAAGGAGTGGGTGGCTAGGACGTCCAAGGCAACCAAGGCTGTTTCCAAATTCGTGGAGCGAAGTAAGGTAGAGGAATGTGACAGTGGGGCAGTTCCACGACATGCCTGAACTAAGTATGGTACGATATTAACCTCAACATCGCCGGACGGTCTGCTGTGCAGCCGTAGTCGATCCAACAAAATGGGAGAGGTGCCAAGCGAGACACCAATGACACTCTGGCGCAGCTGGTCCGGGATACCTCTGGCCAAGGCACCAAAAAGATGAACAGCACGACGGCCACCTTGTCCAAGACCAGCAGTGATTAAAAGAATGGCAGGGCCAACCAGTGGCCCGTAACGGATGCGAAAATGATCCTGCTGTACAGCGGAGTCAAGACACAACCACAAGGAACCACGAATGCCAGCCCATCGGGTGTGAAGTAACATTGCTGACTTCCATGCCAGATCATAACCTTGGAGAAGATCAGCTTTGAGACAAAATGTTGGTAGAGACCAATTCCGACGAGTCTGCAGCGCGATCAAAATACCTAAAGAAACCAAAGTACTATCAAATCGGCCTCCGGCTTGTTCTTGGCCAATGTAGGTTTCAAGAAGGTGGCGGCAAGAATGCAACCAGGCCAAATCAAATAAAGTTTGAAGTTCGTCAGTATAGCTGATCGGTCTAAGATTTTTCATCTCCGTAACAACCTGGGGGCCCCGTTTCCTGATGAAACTCACCTCACGCATCCATGCCGATGGAACGACGCCCAGGGCCATAAAGAGATTGAGTAAAAGCCAGCAGAGTTCGAGCCCTAAGGGGTTCTCATTGACCAAAGCAGCTCTGGGAAATCTTAATGAAGCCTTATGTTGCGAAATGTCACTCACCCAACGCTTGACGTCGTCAAACGCAAAAAACATGTGAGGTTCAGTGGCCGCTTCCTGCCTGGCAGTCTCACGCTCAGCCTGTAAGGCCTCATGCACAACCTCAGTGAAAGTATCAATGCCTGGATGAGCCTGGCTAGGCCGCTCAAGAATTTCTTGCGTCAAGAGTTGTACAACAGTGCTATCAGAGGCCCTGCGGCCAGATGCTTCATCAACAAAGTTGACCTCTGTAGCAACCCTTGGGTTGAGCATCATGCTCAAAAGAGCCTGCGCCCTGCTAGGGTCCGTGGCATGGGAGTCAAGAAAGTGCCGAACCAAAGAGGGGCTACCAGCTCTACCAACCTGAGATACAAACTCCTCATATTCAATCGTGTTGCTCTGGCACTGAGGACCATACCATTCAAGCAAAATTTTTTTCAACTGAAAGGCCTGGGACCCATAGGTTGAGGAATGTGGTTTGACAGTGACGGCCAGACCACACATGTGACCGGCTAAGCAAAGAACAACAGAGCGCCACCAAACGGCTCTGTCGACAACTGCTTGCCGGAGACGTTGCCATTTCCCATCGACTAATGAATCCCGGAGCAAATTTTCACGTAAAATCATCCGAACCCATGTACAGATATACTCCAAGCACAAGGGGACATGCAAGAGTGCCTCATTCCAAGCGTCACTGGAAGGAGACCACTTTGCCTTGCCAAAGGTCTGCCGTTCAGCATGGGGTATACTCCCAACATCTGTAATTAGGAGCGGTCGATGATCAGAAGAAAAAAGAAATTCCGTTTTAGGCAAGACTTCAACAACCGGTGTGATTTCATGCGAAGAAAAGACTAAATCAATGGCAGAACCCGAATCATGTGTGGCGATCTGGGAAGGGTTCCGCAGAACCAGGTTCATGCCCACAGTGCTGACGATCATGGCGGTAATCTCTCGATCAACGGGTCTTTCCAGTCGTGTATTTTTATCACAAAGTTCTGCTATATGGATGTTCAAATCACCTGCCAAAATTACAGGTAATGATGAAAAAAGTCGTTCAGTGCGGAGTTTTTGGAGGTCAGCAGCTCGCGCTTCAAAAAACTCACGGCGTTCGAGCGGGCTACGGTTGGGGGGAGGAGCATAAGTTGCCAAGAGAAGGAAACCACGCGCATTGCCCACCGGGATGTGGACATGGAGCCACATTGCCCGCGCATCCCCCACTTGAGCTAACACACTGACTTTGTCAAGAAAGTCTGTAGAAATCAGGAGAGCCACGGTATTATTGCGGACAGATCGTTCACCAAAAAACTCATAGCCAGATCTTTGGGGCCAACACATGCCGGGGCCAAAGCATGGGTCACTGATGATGGCTATGGAGACTTGCGAGGTATGCAAGGCTGTAACCAGCTGCCAAATACGGTCGTTTTGAGCTTCCTGACGGCTGGACACACTCAGGGCACCTCGTACATTCCAACTCAGTATTCTTAGGTCAAAAATCGAGTGCGTGGCCAGGCCTGGTTCACGCGGCACTTCACTTGTCGCTATTCCACCCTCCCATGGGCCAAAGATAGTGTTGAAAGCTAAGCCACCGGCCACGAAAGCTGCCCTTCGGTCTAAAATGTCAAAAGTTTGGCCGATTGCACGGTCAAAAGACTTATACGAGTCAAGGTCCCTGCTAAGGTTAGAGAGTCCGTGAGGCGGCGCAGATCTCCGCAGTGCCTGAATGTCTCTTCTGAGTACCAAGGCCTGCCAAGGTGCAGATCCTGTCACTGCACAAGGCAAAGGAGCTCGTGACAAGTTCAGCAGCTCATCATGAGCAGCAGCCACCCCAAGATCCATGCAAGTAAGGTAAGACTAGAGGACAAAGGGCGGGCGCGGGAGACGCTGTCACAAGCCTAAACCCAAAAAGCCGCAGGGAAAACTCAGAATCAACAAAGAAGATCCAAAAGCACCAACCGAAGCAGAAGAAGAAGGAAGAAAAAACAAAAAACAAAACAAAAACCAAACAAAAAACAAACAAAGAAAAAAAAGGAAGGAGGCAGCAAAGAACGATTCATTTTTTCAAGCGGTTCAAAAAACCAAAGGTATCCCGCGATCTTAACGAGTACCCCAAAAGTCATCCAGGCTCGTGGTCGCTGCCTGTGTTTTGGCAGCATCCACACAACGATGCGGGCCAAACATCAAAACAATATTCGGCCCCAACTGCTGGAGAGCGCCTTTCACCCCCTTAACAGTAAGCTCTCGACCACCGACAGCGACCTGGAAACTAAGATTCCTCGGTTTCTTGTGGGAAGAGTCAGGTGGGATATTCACTCTATAAACACAATTCCTTGCATCTCCCTTTCGCTCAGCAAACCAAGTGCTCGTGGAAGGCTTGCGCCAAATGGGTCCTTCCAAAGGCTCAACATTGATAGCAGGCCCTTTAGCCCCCAACAGGCCCTGAATCCTCGCAGCCAAATCTCCAGCAGATGGAACTGGCTCAGCGAATTTAACATTCAACTGGAGGGTGGCCTGGGCTGAAGCTGGTCGGGCTTTGCACACCTTAGTGATGTCCTCAGTCAGGGCAGCAATGGCTTCACGCGCCTGTTGGACCTCAGCAGGTTGGAAATGAGCCTTGCCCATTGGTCGTTGCCCTGTTGATAGGCAAGTGCCAACAGTAGAGACCTGAGCTAGCTGTTCAGCAACTCGTGCCTGAGCCTGCGTAGCCAGAGTACTCAGCCGCTCGGTGGCCTCAGTCTTAGACATGTTCATGTCACCTTCTTTGGCGATGGTCAACAGCCTTCGGAGTACCTCAGGTGTAGGGGGTTCCAGTGGTTGATCAGGCATCTCAGGAGAATCCAGAGCCAAGGCCTCAGGGGAGGGCACCTCAGGTGTAGAGGGTGCCACTTGCGGGGGAGGTGTCCGGCTACGGCTACGATACTCTGCAGGACGAAGTCCTCCTGGGCATTGCTCCTGGATGTTACCAGTACCATCGGGAGCAGGTTCACACCCTTGAGCAGCTTGGGCAACGACAGTTGGCACCGGAGCCGAGGCAGATGGTGGGGCATGTTGGCCCAGTGGCTGTAACAGCGGCTCCCCATCATATGCTTGTGGCCACTGCGGTTGCACCAAGGCTTGCATCATACTTGCTTGCATTTGAGCAAGCTGCATTGCCCAAAAAAAATTCTCCATATGCAGGCCAAACAAGAAGGGAACAACAAAAATCATGAGCTGGATTAGCCGAAAAGCTGTTCAGGTGTGAAGTCGCCGGAAGTGCGAGAAGAGGAAGAAAAGGGAAAGGAAAAAAAAAAAACAACACACCACTCACACACAACAACAACTATTGAGCCACTGGCGCGACCTCTAACTACCCAGTCCCACCTAAACCTCTAAATCCGCCCAACCTCTACGGCAGCAACCTCTACACAAAATCGAAGGCGCGACCTGCGACCTGAAAACAGCAGCAGAACGGGGCGGCGCAGGAAGGGAACGGCGAGGCGCGGCGAGGCGCGGCGAGGGCGCGGTCAAAGAGAAGAAAAAGGAGAGAAAGAAAAAACACACGCACACACACACACACCAAAAAAAAGAAAAATAAAATTAAAAAAGTAAATTTCCTTGGATTATACTCATCTCGCGGTGTGCCAAATTGTCTGGAAGAGGCCTGGCTTGCGAGTCTCTTGTCCTCTGTCGACTCACTGTGCTCCATGAGGTGCTCAAATCCGCTGGAAACAATCACTGCTCGTGCAAAAATCAGTATCTCAGCTCGTCTCAGCAAAAAGGTCCGGCCTCTTCGACAAACAAACGTACACAATCGTATACACATACAAGGACCCTCCATACAAGGACCCTACAGGCCTCCAGCAAGGAATTCCACATAATTCCACACATCCCAACCGAAGTCGACTGATGTTAGTTGAATCATATCCCTCACTCGGTGCCGGAGCCCTCCTCTAAGAAGCGGTGCCTGGGAACGTGTAGCATCTATCGTCATCGGGCCATTCCGGGAAGGGAAGGACTCTCAAGTCTGCCTAGTGCTGACAGGTAGCATCTCTCCCAACAGTTGCACCATCTGAATCCCCCAAAAAAAACATCGCACTCCAAGAGCCTTGATCACCAGACCTCTCCCATATACTCACACGCGTCACGCCCCGCAAGTTAGGTCGATGCTTCGTCCTCATCCGAACTCGTGGTGTGCTGCGACGTCCTCCCGCCCCGCGTCGTGGTGAAACACGACGCGCCTGGCGGTGTCCAGCTTCTTCATCAAGACCTCCCCGGAAGGTCGCAAGGCCAAGACCGCGCCATCCTGGGCCTGGATTTCCACTGTCCGCCACGTGTCCCCACTGCACCGCCGGCCAAACGCCATGCAGAAACATCTGCAGCGCCAGTGAGGTGGTTCCCGCCTTGGGCGCGCCCAGCAGATAGACTTCCGGCACCCGGTGCCCCGCCATGCAGAGTGGAGCGCGAGGCGTCCGCGAGGCGTCCGCGCGGCCGGAGGTTTCAAGCGCTCTCTCTGTGTCCGGAACTGGAGGTTTGCGCTATCGCCCGTTCGGGGATAATTTCTGCGGATCTTCTGATGCCACGGCGCCGGCGCAGAATCACCTGGTGAAATACATCTTGGAAGTGATCGTTGATTAAAAGCCGGGTTTTTGGCTTGGATCTTCACAATTTCTGCAGCTTGCAATGATTTGCGCGTAGGCTCCATAGACCCCGAGCGGGCCATCTCAACATGATGCAAGCAATCTGGACGATTGCCATGGCACTCGGTCATGGAGACCTTGAAATCCACCAAGTAAGGAACATGTGTAACATTTGTGTCGTTTGAGAACACCATGCGACCAAAGCATGTGGTAGTTAGACGTTGGTTCAACAAATCTCGCCGCACCTGTACTTTCTCTGCAAGCACGCGGTCCACTCCTGCAACCTTTCAGAGCAAAAAGCCGCCGATTGTCCAGAGAATATAGTGCATCTTCATGATGAAAAATCTGCAGTTTGGGCAATTTTTGAGGGTGCTCACATCAACTTCAACATCCCTGATGCGGCAGAGATTATTGCTTTTACGCTGCAACTTGATCTCCCCACGTCCTTTGACTTCACTGGTTGGGGAGTTCGGATCGAGGCCATTGTCGACTGGCTGCGAGAAAATCTCCTCCTGTCTGGCCTCTGAGAAAGTTTCATCCTGTCTCAGGGCCTCCAAGAAGTCAGCAACGAGTTCCACCTTCACAAATCCTGCAAAGTGCTCTGCCCTCACTGAAGGTGCTCCATCATGGTTGCACTGGTTGCACTTGTGCGGAGCGTCCGAAACGATGCATGAGTACAAACCCAAGGGGTCTCGATCCTGAGCAGCCAGATTAATGAAGGGGGAACCACAAGTGCCATCTGGTGGATAACCTCCGTTCCCAAGTTCAAAAGATCTCGCCAAGAATGCAACCTCAGCGTGACCATCTCCTATATCAGAGTATCACTGTTTACGAGAAGGCACAAATAGTTCACCAAGCGCAAAGATTCCGTGTTTGTGATGCTGAGTCGGCACCCAATTTGGAGTAGGCAAATACAGCAAGGATCAAATCGTCAAACATGTTCATCAGGTACTGCAAGGACTCATCTTGGGAACTTGCAGGTTCAGATATGACACAAATGCTTGTAAGACGATCACAAGTAGCAGCCTGCTCAAGCATGGATGGCTGGAGGAAATGATCCAAGTTGCAACAAGCTCGAAATCTCAGCTCTGCTGCATTCCTTCCAGGCCACTGCATCAAACATGACAAGGTCCAGCTTCTCTGGGTCTTGTATCACTCCCATGACTCACTCACAGCGTGGATCCTGCAAACCCTCAAGAGCTGAAGAGGAAGGGAGAAAGGCACAAAATCTTGCAACACAAAGATGACGATCTGCCACAGTGCACCCAAAAAGCTCAGGGGGATCATGGCATCGGTCTTGAAACTTTCTCTTCCAAAGGCAAAAATCGACTTCAGCTTTGGTTGCAGGCCTTTCGTCTGCACTGAAAAGGTCACAAAATTCAATGAGATGAGAATCATTTGGATCTAGTTGGAAGGCCTTGACGGCATGGGCACAAAGAAAATTATGGCGGCCAGATTGAGGCCTTGAAGGATTTCCCGCAGCTTGATGAGCTTGGGGAGTTGGTCGGCCAAAGAATGAACCCATTGCACCACAAGGCAACCAGCTTTGGAAGTACCGCTCTGCTTGAACCCAGCGCGCCTTGAGCCAAAATGGCTACGGATTGAGAGCATTCCCTCGAACTTGACGTCCCATTGGACCACGCGGTCGGTCAAACCGAGGTACAATAGAAAGGCGGTCACCAGAACCATGAAGATACACACCACCACGAAGACCCACACAGATGCCTTGCCAAACTTTAAAACGTCTTCAGAAACGTAAGCAATCCGAAACGACTCATTTTGGTTGGACGACTCATGGAGGAACAGGCACATGCCTGGCCACTTGAAAAGGGTAAGTGGTTTGTATTCCAATAATGTTGCAAACCAAATGTGTTTCTAGTTTAACAAGGCACAGCTTGGATGAATCCTTCTTAAAGCGAAGTCCAAAATATCTCTGTGCGTGCTCACAACTCAAATCTAGCGTGTCTAGGGAGTCTCAATTTCAGGTTTGCACAAAGTGTAGTTTCTACATCTCAGCTCCCATGTGTCGGCACAGGTGCAACATGGAGTTTGATGGAGAAACAACCCTACAGACATGAAGTCATGAAGTCAGTGCAATGGCTTAGTCGCCGGCCTCAAGTTCTGCAAAGTTCTGCGCTGAAAAGAGCTTCAAGGAGATCAACAGCAAAGTCAAAGCAGCTGAATCAATGCCTCCAGGGCATGTGCTGCAGTAACTGCACAAATGCGAATATATACAAATGTATATTATACAAATATATGCTTCCCCCTTGGGTACGTGGCTAGCAAATTCGCCTAGCAGATGTGATTATCAAACGTGCCTAGCGAAGGGCCTAGGAAACTGGTCCTACTCCTACTCCGACTACTACTACGACTACCACTACACTACCACGACCCTCGCCACCGCCACCACCACCAGCAGAGCAGCAACACCACCACCACCACGACTACCCCTCCGCCTCTTACTCCTACTGCTACTGCTACTGCTACTCCTACTACTACTACTACTACCACCACTACGACTACGACTACTACTACTGCTACTGCTACCCCTACTCCTACTCCACTCCTCCTACTACTCCTACTCCTACTCCTACTCCTGCTGCTGCTGCTACTACTACTGCTACTACTACTCCTACTCCTACTACTACTACTACTACTACTACTACTACTACTACTACTACTACTACGACTAGTGCTACTGCTATTACAACTCTTCCCCCTTACCGCCCCCCTTCCGCAGAACAAAGGATCTTCCGTACAACTTCGGGCGGCATGTAAACAACTAGCACATATAACCCTGTCACACCGGGCGGCGCGGTTACAAAGGGCAGGGCTAGACATTGCCTTCCAATCTAAAAGACTCTCTGGAAGGGCTGGAAACGGTTGGACGTTGAAAACTAGAGGGCTGGAAGGGCTGGACCGGACATTTAGTGTTTTTAGTTTTCTTTGTTTTCCAAGTTTGTTTTATCTTGAACACTAGAGGGCTAGAAGGGTTCGACGTTTAAAGTCTTTTTTTGTTCCTGAGAACTAGAGGGCTGGAAGGGCTTGACATTTAGTTTTGTTAGTATGTTTTGCTTTTTTACAACGACAAACCATAATGGCTGGATGCTTAGTTTTTGTACGAGAATTTCCCACTGCAACATAATAGATACAAAACCCCTCTAACGTACATGTATAATATATATAAATGATAATATATGTGTAATTGTTAATATAGTATATGTATGTGCATATAAATTATGCTATATTCTGTGCATAGGGCTTTCTAGGTGTCCCCAAAAGTATATCCTAATAGATAGGAGCAGTGTCAAACATATTTGTGGGCAAAGAAACAAAAAACAACGACAAACAAATGCAGGATACTTGAGGAATTATGCGTAGACACACGAACAGTGATTCTGTGCTTCATGAGCGGTAAGAAACTTGACACACAAGATATTGCAAGGTATATAGCTGTTGATCCAATTGCTCTCTCTCTCTCTCTATGTTCAGATTCTATGCCGTTCATGAGGGATTTGAAGAAACCTTCAAACTGGAGAAGCCCTGGGACAGAAACCACATGTGCCATAGTCCATTCTGCATAGTCTGCCAGTGCACCGGGGGGGGCACGGGCAGATGATCCAACTCCGTAAAGGGTGGTCCAACGTTGATGTTGGCAGCCACAAGAAAGCACCAACACACTGACCGGGAATGTAATGAACTCTCATCAGTGATATTATGAATATATATATATATAATTATTAATTATATATACAGTATATGTACAAGTTGGGAAGCTAGCAATGCCCTGTTTTTTGAGCATGGACAACAGCAGTGTCTGGAGTGTCTATTTGGTGTTGCTTAGTAGTCCTTACTCTGCAACGGGCCGCCCTGCCTGAGAGAGCAGGGATCTGGTGCCTTGGGACACCGGAGAATCCCAACACCGGAGCCGGCCAGTGTATTGGGGAAGCCGGCCAGGACCGCCCAATGGGAGCCGTTCGTCTCAACTGGCATGATTTGGAGCTTAGTCTGTTGAGTAGTCTGAGAGCAGCTCCAGATATGCTATGTGGTGCAAGCATGCTGAACATCTCCATGTGGACCTCTAAAGGGAGAAATCCGCAGGTGCTCTATTCTCCAAGAACTAAAGACCAGTAAAATTGGCTGTCACTGTTCGACTGGTCACCTTTATCTTGTTTGAAGGGCATGATCCGCATCGGCATGAACCCATCATGGAATCTGCACCGGCCCGCTTCTTGGGTTGAAGGTCCTGGACGTTCATCGTAGATCAGTGTCCGAACGTGCACCGGATATGCGACAGTATTCCACTCCACTCCGAAAAGCAACATGCTTCACCCTGCCACAGTTTTCCACAGTCTTCGGAGCATGAGGCAAAAAGAAACAACGAACAACAAGTCTGCAGTCGTGCAAGCACCAAGCACTTCAGTGGCAGTAACGTTGATATCAAGCGAATGCTACATTGATACCGCATGTAAAGTCCCCCCTATCAAAACCGTTTCCAGTTCAAAAGGACAGTGGTCTCAAAAAAGGACCCCACGATGGACATCGTCCACATGTTTCACTGGAAGGATTCAACAGATGCAACGATCAAAAACTGGAAGAATCCCGAGAAGATCGACCACTTCGATCTGCCCACGGGCCCGGCATGGAAACATCTGAGCGTCTTCAAGGCATTCAAAGAGGTGGCAAAGGCCATGACCAGAAAGAAGAGAGTGGTCCTTTGGCTGACAAAGTCTGTCTTTGAAAGTGCAAGGAATAGAAAAACCTCTGGGACCCTGGGAGAAGAACCTCAGATCCTATGGTTGCTGTGTTTGTTTTGCAATCTTTTGATGCATGTTGTTGACAAAGTCGGCCTCAGGTCATCTTCTATGTACAAAGAAGGTTTTGGAAATGTGGTAAAAACAAAAGAAGTGGATTGTGAGTCTTGTAACGCAACATAACTTCAAACAAGGCTTCAAGAAAAGTTGCCACGAAGGGAAAGAAACAGCGGCGCAGGGATTCAAAGGCGATGGAATGAAAAACAAATTGGGACAAAGATCGACACAACCCGCCTTACAAAACAAAGAACCTTTTTGTTGAGTCACACCGCGCTAGCTGCAATAACTAACGTCATATGTTACTATCGACATCTATCGACCTTTTTCGTGACCGCCAGCACCACAGAGCACTGCATCTACGATAACCAAGCAAAAGGAAGACCGATCTGGGTTCCCTCCCCCCAAGGAGAACCCATCCGTGTGGAATTCTGGCAATTGAGCCACATAAAGAGAGCGATCTCCGTGAGGACTTGGAAGATCACCAAATAGTAAGCAAAGATGTGCATGGAAAAAATGGACACGTCCATCACCAAAAGCCAATAGAGCAACATTGTGAAGCCTACAGCAAGGCTTCAACTGGTTGACGACTGACATAACAGTTCAGGACTTGGTTGACTGGTACCTATTTACACAATTTACCTGTTTGATCTCGTTTTGGGCAACACCCACGCTTGCGGAGTCTAAGTCCAAACAGCGTCAAAATTCACGCAAAACCAAGGAGGCCTCTGCAGCAGTGGTCTTACCAGAAGTACCGCATTTTGACGGCACACCACTCACTTGCGCAGGCGAGGTCGGCGCCAAACCCAGAAGATCTAATTGTGAAGGGGAGACGTCCCAAAACTCACTTGTGCCGGCCAAAGTTAACTCACTTGCGAACGCAACCACAAACCTGCACACCTCCAATTCAGTGGTTCTTTGCGGCTCGGAACCTTCCCCCTCTATATCGATTTAACCATCGGGTTGCTCAAGAATGCTATGCTACATTGGAAAGGGTCTTCAGGATTCTTCAGGTATGCTACATCGGAATTGTTCCTTATTGTTCCTTCTTCCTCTAAATTTTGGGGCGGAAATTCGACCATCAGGTAGCTCTCACAAAAGGTATCTCGGGTTATACTGATGTATGTTGTATGCTACTTTTCCATTGCTCATCCTCTAAATTACCCTAGAGTGCCTCACAAAAGGTATGCTACGTTGGAATTGCCAAATTTCCTGCCTTCATTGTAAACTCAGCATCCTTGCACAAGTGGGAGTGTGTGTTGGCGAAGCCATTATGCTGAAGGCTTCCTAGTGCGTTTACAAGCGAGGCGTTGTCCGCAGCGCGAGCGCCAGGGCCGGACCTACGAGAACTGCCAGGCCTGAGACCACTTGATAGGACTTTTGCTGCTCGGGTACCAGCTCCGGACAGCTATTGCTGAAGGGTCCAGACCTGGAGAGAGAGAAAAGCGGTTGGCGGTTGGGTTTTTAAGGGGAAACAACATTGAGCCAAGGTGAGCCGGGTGAGCAAATTCAACATTAGCGTTGAAATAAAACAATCAGACTGTTGGGAGAAGTGAGGAAATCAAAGGTGGACCAAAGAGTGGAATCCGAATGGGACAAGTGACTTAATTAGGTCCTGGAACAAGAATCTGAACGCACGTTTGAAGCATCATGTGTTCACACACACACACACACGTGTGTTGCCTCGTGTTTAAGGGTGGTGTACAGTTAGAGGCTGCAATCATGAAGTGTCATGAAGCGTCAAAAACTACTCCTTTCATCTTTCTACGTAAGATCACTACGGTCGGAGCTAGACTCGGTATCCACCACGTCGGAGGTTCCCAACGAAGACCAGCTTCGCATCTTCGCGGCCCGAACACCGGTACTCTCACATCGACGAGGGGCGTGTCACTCTGGTGGTTGAAGCACCAGAAAATAGGTTCTTGAGTACACATGGTAATCCTAGGCTGAGGCAACAAGGTTCGTCTACCTTGCAGGCACCCCACACGACCACCAATATTTTGTTCTTGGGAAGATGTGTGTGTGTGTGAGCTCAAGAATCTGCAGCCCAAGAGCGGAATCATGCCAAAGAAGCCAGAAAAAAGGGGATTGGATTGGTTTTGGTCCCGTAGCTGTTCTTGCTCCGGAAATGTGGATTGTGGATCCCTTGGGCATTTGTTCGAGGTTCCCAAACGTGTCGGTCTTCTTTCTGACCAAAAGTGAGTGAGGCAGGCAACTCCACGGTCAGTGCACCCACTGGGCTCTTGAGCCGTCAAAGGGTCTCGTCCACCCCGGCAGATCAAACCAAGCATTTCTGTGGCATGTGTCCCAAAAGGTGTCTTCATCCGTGGCCATTCAGAATGCCCAAGACATACAGCGTGTCTTCATCCGTTCGGATCAAGAAGACGATGGTACCAAGGAGATCCAGTACTTGGACTCTCCAAACCAACCCCATCGTCCCATCGTCCCATCGTCTCGTATGATGCTGAACCCCATGGCTGGTCTAAGCGCCTGGGTGCTACGGTCTACGGAGTCTACGGCGTCTACGGTCCGGCGCTTTAGAGATCGTTTATACACGATCCCAGCAGCAAGGAAAACAGTGGAAAACAGTATTGCAAAATGGTTGATGTAGCTGCAGCTCAAAATCAAACCGCAAGATATCTCAAGAACTGTCCCAACGATGATCTGCAAAAAGAATACGTAAACTGCAACGTCATGAGGCTCTGCAAGCCGGTCCCACAAAAAGAACAATCAGGCAAAACATTGTAAAACATGAAGACAATTGCCACATTGAAACAAACTTTAAATTAAGAACTGCATAAATCTATACTTCTTCTATGTGTTCTGGGGAGGATGGCCATGACGAAGGTGAACCGGCATGTTGATCCCGGATCCTTCATCCAATCCTTGTCCAGCAGCAAGGAGGCCAAAAGCATCAAGGTAGATATCTCTTTAAGGCCTCAGTTGCTGCCTTCGGCTGGGAGCGCTACCCCGTAGCGCCATTCGAGGGTATATAATTGGGAACTTTGTCTGACCCGTTCGTTCGTAGAAAAGCATTCGTTCGTTCGGGTTGGCGTCGCATGGCCTTCACAGATTCCAAGGAATCCTCGGTTTGTCCACTCAAAGGACGTCTGGTGACCCAACGTTGCTTGAACCTTCGAGGAGGGATCCTCCCTCATGTGTCTCTTACTCCAAACGCATGCGGGGAGCTGACTACGACTACCTCTGAAAGATGACTATAGTCGAAAGGGGATCTGGAACCTACGGCATCCTATATATCCTTTTCCCAACCCTTCGAAGTCCACCCTTTTCTGCTCTAAGAAGTCCTGCAACCCAGCAGCTGCACAGGAACTTTGGCCACGAAAGCCATCGGGTGATCCTCACGACCGACTGGAAGCGGCCGTGAAAAGCCCTGCTGTTTTGAGGTGTCCAATGACCAGAACCCTGTTTTCTTAGTGACTTCAACTTGGTCTGGCAACCTGAAGCCTGATGCTTGCATTGAACATGCAACAGACCGCTTTCAGCGGTCTGCCGCTCGGCCAAGGGATGAACTACAGCTTCGAACAGGTGAGGTCAGAAGCTCCGAGGGCCTGCCGATACCTCGTTCATGCCTCCAGAACAACAAGAACTTCAAGGTACTGCCACAAAGAATCGTTCCACACAAAGAACCAACATACATTCAGTATACGACTCTACGCAACAGTGCCAGGACCGGAAATGCCATGCTTTGCCATTATACGACTGAACGTCTCGTTGTGAAAAAGACAAGAAGAAAACATGGAAACAAGGCGATAGGCCCGACAGGCTGCCTTTTCAACAGGATCCGTTTTTCCATGGGCAGAGGTGCTGATGTTGGAGGTGTTTGGGAGTTAGTCTTGGGACGTTGTTCTGGTCCATTCTGGTCCTGGTTCGAGAAGATTCCTGAAAAATCCATAAGTAGATGAGTCGTGAAACCAATCCACGGCAAGGAATTGTTGCCTTCTCCAATTCCCGAATCCACGGCCACCAAAATCAGCTGCCATCCTTATTCCATATGATAATTCCATATAATTCCATAATTCCTCATACCAGGAGTCACAAAGCCTCTGGTTTTTCGTCCCATCCAGGGGCCGTGGATGTGATAGGGGCACCCCAAACCCGGGGGCAAACCTCAAACCTGGCACCCGTCGGCATCCGTCGGCGCCTCACGAAGTCCCTCGCTCGAAGGGCCGCCACCCAGAGCCGAACGAATCCTCAGGATCCACACCGAGCACGACTAGGTCCGGACACGAACGACGACGGAGTCGTGAGTCGTGGGACGATGGAGTCGGACGAACGGACACGAGGTCCGTGCGTCGAAGGGATCGTCATCGGAAAACGGGTACGAGGTCCGTCGGTGTGTATATAGATGGAGTCTATAACACTAACTCAGGGTGGGAAAAGACCTACTTCAAGCGTCGTGGACAACAGCTTGGGTGAGTCCATTCAAAGACGGCACAGGACAAGGATTCCGTAAACATTGGATCTGTCCGCAAGTAAGGACAGTTGGATGATAGTGGCCATACCATCTCAAGGTGAAGACGGTGAAGGTGACTCATACCATCTCATACCCATTCCAGGTGTGGAGTATGCAACCATAAAGCAAAGTCTCTGTGTGACTCTTTGGACACCAAGACATGACCGGAGGGAAGTTCGTGACTCTGGGGCGAACCCGTGACCGACTGTGGATCCGAACTGGCGGGATGTGGGACGTGGTGGTCATTGTCAGTCATCCACCGTGTTCCACGTCCGGGGCTTCTTTCGGCTACAGATGCGAAGAAAACCTCCAGGCACCGTGTTTTTCGATGTCTGACGTCCGATTTCATCGGATTGCGTGAGGGGTGCCGCACGAGTCCGGCATCGAGGAGAAATAGTCCATTCATGTCATCGAGTTTCCGTTTGCTCATGGTTTCATACTGCAACGACACGATTCTTTGTAGAGCCTCGAGCTCTTCATCCCGACACAAGGGGGCTCTTAGCTTGCAGGGTTCGGAAGCAAAACACAACCAACATCAACCAACCGCCGATGGTCGGTGCAAGAGATGCCCACTTCCGAGAGTTGTTGAAGTAAACTAGACGACGAGTGGCCCGAAAGCATTTTTCATCACGTAGGAAGTCAGAGCGTGAGTTAAGTGTTCAGTGTGAAGTGTTAAGTCGAGTGAGTTGAGGCAGTGTGTGGGTCTCTGTGTGTGTGTATCTATGTCTGTGTGTGTATGAGTCTCTGTCTGTGACTCCGAGTAAGTTGAGGCAGTGCGTGGGTCTCTGTGTGTGTGTGTGTCAACCTTTTAAGAGAGCCGGGTGGTCGGGAGACATGACTCAGCTGCAGGGGCGCCAGAGCAGCTGTGAGAGATGACTCAGCCGCGAGAGATGACTCATCCGCGTACTAAAGTTGCACTGCAAAGTCACCAGTTCTCAGCTTCCAGCTCCCCAGATACTCCGCGTACTAAAGTTGTACTACAAAGTCGCCAGTTCTCATCTTCCAGTTCCCCAGATACTCCGCGTACTAAAGTTGTACGACAAAGTCGCGCCAGTTCTCATTTTCCAGCTCTCCAGATACTCCGCGTACTAAAGTTGTACTACAAAGTCGCCAGTTCTCAGCTTCCAGCTCCACAGACTGCTCCACGTACTACAGTTGTACTACAAAGTCACCAGTTCTCATCTTCCAGCTCCCCATATGCTCCGCGTACTAAAGTTGTACTACAACTTCGCCAGTTCTCATCTTCC